GCGGGCCCCGCCGGAATCGCCGCGCAGCTCCGCCCTGTGGAGGTGGGCCCAGGACACGGTGGGGCAGGGCTGCGGAAAGCGCCTCTCCTCCAGAGACCGTGGTTGGCCCTTGGCATCCCTGGCAGTCCTGTCCCGCCCACGGTGTGCCGCGCCCCCTTCCTTTCCCCTTTTGTAAGTGCCCACCTTCCTTCTTCGCTTCGGTCCCACCCTCAGCAGCCCTCAGATTTTAGGACGGGACTGCACTTCCCTTTCAAGTGTCCGTTGGGTCCGGCTGGGAGCGCGTCCCTGAAACGCCACTCTGTGGTTAAAGTCCCTCCGGTACTACGCGTGGTGGGTGGGGTGCTGGGGTGAACTCAGGGCCTTGGCGCGTGTTGTGTAAACGGTCTGCAAAGGAGCTACCTACCTTACATCCTCCGCGCAAACCCACATTTTGCAGAACACAAAACAGACCTGGAGAGCTTCAGGCTCACTCCCTTGCCAACCTGTCGTACATAAGTAGAGTATCACAGCAACTGAAACCCCAGGAGAAGAGCATTGGCAGCTCAATTTGCAGGCTCTCTGCAGGCATGCTCAACGTGGTCATCCGTGTGTTTAAAGAGTCCCTCTGCTGTGACGGCCCTTCTCTTAAATGACCTCTTAGGGTCATCCTTTGGCCCCTTCACCCTTCATGTTTCTATAAACAGTAAACGCAGGAGTAGACGGATTCTATTATTGGTTTAATCTTACAGAGCTGCAAAAGCTACAAGTATTATTCTAACTCCTGTTTCCATTGCTACTTCCCCGTATAACCATATGGTATGTCATGGATGCAATGAAACTTTTACTGGTGCAGTAAAACAATTAGCAGTACAGAATAGCACTTGATTTCTCTATGGTGATCAGGTCTTGAGTTATATAAAAAATATGAAGAATAAGATGAGAGTCCCTTTTAAGGTTGTATTAGTCGAACAAATTGTGTTTAGTGTGAAGGAATATTGACTACCGTGTTGTAGAGGAAGAAAGTAATTTTTTCTTCAAGCCTCCTAAGCCCTTAGAACTGGCCCCTATTACAAAAGGATAAACAACTAAAAGACAAACATGTTTATTGACATGTATATTTCATATGTACATAGGAGACACCGAGAGAGTGAATAATTCTCAAAAGATAACCTTGAGTCTACAAGATCCAAGACACAAAGGAACCTTTCCTACACGATCCTACATCTTTGGTAAGCCAGGGAGATTGCTGGGCCCCAGAGGACAAATATACTGTGTGGCAAAGGAATGTCACCATGAGGGAGGTCTCCCATGCTTTCACTGAAAGCAACATGGTCAAGCAAGGCCATGACGCATCCTGAAAGCTGACACTGACAGAGGAGCTGAGTGGCTCTATGCATGGTTCTGAAATAATGCCTGAAGAGACTTAACTGACCTTGATAGATAGCAAGAGGTTCATGTTGATTGACGCAGGCCTCACTTTATCTTGGTATTAAACACCCAGCAGAAAAGAATAACCCAAAAAGGTATGAAATAATGCTATAGTAATAAAGCTAGATATAAAAAGGGTCTCCAGTCACTGACCCCTTGTCGCGAGCACGAACAGGAGTCGGATCCCAGGCTGTGAGCACTTAAACGTCTCACTCGCCTCGAGGTAATGAAAACTACAAGTGATATGTCTTTAAAGGGGTTTTATTGTCACACAAGCAATGCAAAGCAATATCAAAGCAAATGTCACAACCACAATCAGGAGAGCATTCTAGTCCTTCCCCTCAGTATCGAGACAGATGCAATACTGAGGTATAAGCTGTAACAGGGTTATACGACCTGAGTCCGTGACACCGAGCGCCGGGCTGTCGGGCAGAGATTCGAACTGCAACGTGACGATCAGCTCCGGTTCCAGCAGGGCCCCCGGCAGCATTCGGTCAAGTCGCGTGACGCAGCGACGAGTGGCAGTCAGGTCGGGTCGAGATGGACGACGACGACTGGTCTTGGGCTAGGGGTATTTATACCCCTAGCTATTCCTTATCGCTCGGGCCATGTACTCCGGTCAAGCAGGTGGTCGTAGGGTGGAGAATGTTTTGGGGTTTCCCTTTAGCAAATGGTCGCAAGGCGGGAGATAAGGAAGCAGATGGTCGCAAGGCGGGCTTAGCTAACAGCTGACGGTCTAGGACAGCAAGGCAGGTATTTCTTATCTCAAGCTGTCAGTTGCATTAGGTCATAGCTGTTAGCTAGCTAAGCTGTCAGCTAAGCTGTTGGCTGCTAGTCACACAGGGCACTTTTTGCTTATTGATTCTATTAGTTTCTACCTATTGATTACATGCTCAGTACACCCCTTCTGGCAGTTTTCAGCTTTACCGGTAGCTGACTATGGTTATGGACCAATAGGAAAAAACTATGATAAAATCTGTAAGAGCTCAGCTAGAGTTTTATATTGTTTAGTGAAGTTTGTTTTTCAAATTGTCTCTTATTTTACAGCTAAAACTAGAGTGACTTATGACAAAGTATCAGACTTATAGATAACCTCTATTAATGAAAGAATCCAAGTCCAGCAGGTTCAATCACTATTTCAATTTCTAAGTGTGACTTTCTCCCCAACCTGCCCTTTGATTCTAATGTGCTCATGCTTAGATTATGCATACTCTAATTTCTTTAAGTTTTTGTTTATGCTTGCCTAGAGGCTGCCAAACTCCAAGTGGTCATACAAATGGATCCAGTGACAAATGTGCTAGACTTCTTTTACTGGAATCCACCAGTTCGACCTTATAAATAGCTCATAAATGCTAAACTAAACAATATGACTTCTATGTTGGATTCTGAAGTCCCCTAGACCTTCTCCTTTATCCTCTTTGTGGGTTATATTCATAGCAGTCCTGCTGACCTTATCATTTGACCCATGCATTCTTAACTGTTTCTTTGGCTTTGTCTCCTCCAGACTTAAAAACTGTGCAGCTACCAAAATGACAATGCCTGGCACCTATTGAAGGCCTTTAGATAGACCCTCTCTACAGTAACTCTAACTGCTGATCACAACTATGACCCTCTTCAGCTGGAAGTAGCCAGAGCTGTCTTTGCTCTTTGCCCCCTCACAGCAGTTAGGGGTACTTCTTCAGAGGGGGGAATATTGCAGATAGGCAAGTTAATTAGATATCTTGTAGGCAGTTAGACAGGGCCACCCTCAAGGAGCCAACACAGCAAGGAGCCAACATGGAGGACAATCAAGACACATTCACTGAAGGCCAGAATTGTAAAAGGAGAGAAACTACTTTACCCTTGTGCTTCCCCTGGGATAAATAGCAGTGATTGATATTCTAATAGGTTTCAATCACCGTAGTGGGGGGCCAAGGTCTTAACCCAGCCTTTCCAGGAAATATTCCTCACCCCCACCCTTACTGAAAATCCTTGTATGCTTGCTATGTGACTTGCTCCCCTATTTGACCCCCACTTAATCAATATTACCTGGGTGACTGTACTTGTAATCTTATTGGTTGGTCATGGTTTTGCCCCACCTTATGCCCACCTTGTAATTTTCCATTAGGTGTTATAGTTTTGTCCCACTTTGTACCCATCTGACCACAAGGCTTTGCTGTATAAAACATCTTGGAGAAGTGAGGTGAGCAGGCAACCCACCTTCAGGTCCCCCTTCTGTCTCTCTTAGACAGAAGCTCAATAAAATTTTCCTACTCTTAAAAAAAAGATGACCTTGAATTCATATGTGTGTGTGTGTATGTGTATATATAATACATATATCGTATATATGACACATCAATAAAAATAGTAAATTTTTAGAGAAATATCAAGACAAAGGAAAGACTTAAATCCCCTTTATAAATAGAAATTTCCTTTACTAAAGAACAACATGTGCCTTGTTTTTAAATAGTATTTCCTGTCCTGAGTTTCTGCTTTTTCAGTGGCCTGTTGCTCAAAATAATGCATGTGCCTAAAGAGGACTATTTGGGGGTAGCATATTGTGGTGCCCTTCAATATCATATCTTCCAGTATTGGAGAGACCATTCAATGAACGAAGGGTTAGGTTGTTCCGAGCAGCCCAGACCACAGATGGAAGACTTGTGCATGAAAACTAGGGAGACAGATTTGACTCTACGTGGAGCACTTGCACTGTGAAATGAGCAGGCTTGAGGGGGTGGGCTTGTCCATGATCCTTGGTCAAGAGTTTGTACAACAGCTTTATTAGGATGGTGCAGGAATAGTTAGGGAGCAGTGTGGTGTAATGAGAAGAACTTGGGTTTTGTTTTCATATCCTAGGTCTTCAGAGTGCTGGCTCTGTGCGCTTCCATGAGTTTCTTAACCTCTCTTTCTTAGCTCTCTACTTACCTAAGAAAGGAGCATAAGAACTAGTTCACTGGACTATTATGACAAAGACAGTATAGCTATATAGCTATCTGTTGTGGCAAAATGTCCAGGTCATACTAAACACTCAATAAATCATATCTACTTGTGTTGTTATTACTGGCTTTTATTATTTCCTTGTTAGTGTAACAAGGACTCAGAGAGTAAATGACTAATGAGTAAGTAAAAGCAAGATAAAGCTTGACACCTCTGCCTTTGTTGTATCTGTCTCCCTGTTACCTTAAACTTTGGGTCAGAGCCCTACTCAGTCCTGCAAATAGGCATCAGTTAAGAGTATTACAAAGTTATTAGCCCTAAATTTACCGAGGCTATCTCTTCCTCCTTAAGACTGAGGGCACCAAGGTAAGAGTAACTAATTTTCAGGATTTTTCAGGGATATCTACATTACAACATACAGCTCCTGTAGAGATGCCTAGAAATCTGCAGTCCTTATCCTAAACCCACAGCCACCTCAGATTCCAGGAATCTATGATAAGATCATCTCCCCGCTCTAAAACAGGGATCCCACAAATGGAACTGAGGATGCTTCCCTAAATAGGAGTTGTCATGTCATGGTGGGAACTGAATTGGCCCCAACAGCAATGATGGCCCTTTAGGACCTCCCAGACCCCATCCTGAGATACCCATGACCAGACCTCAGCTTGATTAGTATTATCCCTGCTGCCAGCTAATCAATCCCCCAGCCCTGGCTTCTGCTACCCTTGTCTATAAAACCCCAAGCTTCTGACAGCCCCTTGAAGACAGATTTCAAGCCTCCTTGTGCTTCCCAGCATGATCACGCTGGTTAAAGCTCATTTCCTGCCTTTTATCACTGCTGGTCTCCTCGTCCGTCCGACACTTTGAGACAGGTGACCAAACCTGGTCTGCTGAGACCCCCTTAGAGGTAGGGCTTTTCCTCCAAAACTCTGGGAACATTGGGATTTTATGAAAACCTCTCATATTTGTGTTTTGTCTAAAGCAGACTTTACCAGTGTTTGGAGAAAACAATTTAATGTTGAATATTAGACACCCTTAAAACAGTCCTTCAACCATTTCCACAATTCCACTGTCTCCTTCCTCCTTTCTCTCTTTCCTTCTGGATCTATCCCTGAGCTCCAGATTCTTCTGGCTTTGTCAGGCACAGCATTCTTGAGCTCAATCAACCTGTTTGCAATGCTGCTGCTTTCCACCTGAGCGTGTCAAGGTGAACCTTTGTGAAAACAGAGAACCCTTTGAGATTTATTTCAGCAAGGTTTGCTCTTCCAGAAAGCAGTCATTTACTTTATAAAGTGGTTCTTCTTTCCCCACTTCATCAAACTCAGGACCTTGATCTTGCCAGGAAGGCAAGGTGCCACTGAGCTACATCCCAGCAGGGTTTTATGACCTTTGACACATTCTACCCAGTTGATTGTCCAGTTTGCCTCAGTCCTAATCTTCTACCCTAAACCCTTCCTGCCAGGCCTGGGTTTGTGCTCCTCTTAGTCACAGCTCAGTCCGCATGCTGGTGAGGCCAGATTTTGGTAGCACTTTCCCTCTGTTGGCAATAGTGTGCTTTACCATCCCTGGCTGCTCAGCTCCGCTCACATCCGTATGAATGGTCCCTCGATCAGTCTTCCGCTTGCCCCATTTCCTGCCTTGGACTTCTCTTTCATACACTAGGCAATTTTCAGAAAAGGTAAAATCAAGACTCTCATGTAGTTGTAAAATGAACACAGGCCCAAAATTATATTTAACACATTAATTAAATGAAAGGACCAGGAAAAAAATGTTACACATTCAAAGGAGAAATCAAACAGGAATTCAGGGAAGAATTTACAGAAGCTGCAAAACTGGCTTTTTCCGTGGGAATTGGGAAGGCTGCTACTTGACAGATTTATTTGCATTGTTCTGAGTTATTGTCAATTATCAGAGTTGTAAAACAGCTCAAGGGCAATCATATACCCTGGAAACTTCTAAGTTTAAACAATATGTAGCATTCCACCAAAGCACAACACCCCCACCCTGCCAAAAAAGGAAGAAAGAAAAAAGTTTTGTCTTCTTTCTTGAAGGTTCTATCATTCAAGTCATTAGTTGTGTGGTGGTGTAGAGATCATCTTACTCACCAGGATTTGTTTTGGGGGAAATCTAGTTTTTATTTGAAGTAACTACTTTGATCTACTGCAGGAGTGCTGGGAGAGGTCCCCTAGGAAGGCTCTCATATAGCTCTGCAGGAAGCCAGGGGAGGAATTCACTTTACAGAGAGAAGGTGGAGGGGAGGAGAGAGGAGATTACCAAGACTGGTTCACAGTTTGAGTGCTCATTGTAAGGCTCAGATTTATTTTTTAAAATGGGGGGAGGTTGCTGAGACTGGATCTTTTGTGCCTTTGTGCAAATTGGAGGAAAAGATGGATTTCTTGCATGAGAATTGGAGTCACTGGGGACAGCATTAGCATCCAGGGAGTCTAGGCGGGAGTGTGATGGGGATTATGAGGTAGTAAAGCCCTAAGAATTTACAGACATGGACAAGGGGAATGCTCGACTTGGACAAACTGGAAGTGGCAATCATGAAAGATAAACTTTTGCACGTTAAAAATGTAAAGACTGTTTGAAGAGATATCAGTCAGTTCATGAACTGGGGAGCTCCAGTCTGCATGTGGTTCCAGGCTCCAACCAAGGGGCACAAAGAAAAGGCAAGATGAAAAAAATATTGACTGATTAAAGGGGAACAGTAGCCTCATTTGATCATTCCAGAGGCGACACTAAATAGAAGTTAGTTGGCAGTTTGGGTTTTGGTTTATGTTGGAACCCAGAGCCCTGGAGTCCTCTCAGTATGATGGCTTCATGATGAATTATTTTAATAGCAATTTGAGCCAACATCTTTGAGGGCAAAGAAATCTTCTAGTCAGGACTGAGTTATACATGACAGACAAAAAGATTCTCACTGTTATGCTTTAAATGTTGTGCCTCCCAAGACTCGTGTATTGACTTGGCATGTTGGTACATGCCTGTGATTCTAGTTACTCTGGAGGCTAAGACAGGAAGATTCCAAGTTTGAGGCCAGCTTGGGGAATTTAGGAAGGCCAAATCTCTCTCTCTCTCTCCCTTCCTCCCTTCCTCCCTCTCTCTTTCTCTCTCTCTCCCACCCACACACACATTTTGAGGGTGCTAATCTCATTTAATGGATTAGTGCATCGATGAGTTCATAGCTGAAGGTCTGTTAGGGTGTGGGAGCATGGTTGGAAGTAGACCACTGAGGGTGCACCTTTGAAGGGTGTGTCTGTCTCTGGCTTTTCATCTGCTCCCTGCTTCTTGGCTGCCATGGGTTGAGAGCCTTTCCTCTACCATGATGCTTGTACTTTTAAAACAGCTGATACTCCTTTTTTCCTTTAAGCTTCACATGTCAATTATTTTGTCCCTGCACCAAGAAGCTGACTAATATACCTCCCCAACATGTGAAGGACTGGGGAGCCAAGTACAAGATGAAATGGACACTCTGCCCTCCCTTAAAGCACGACGTAGATTTAGAAAGACAAAATTTCTTGTAGCTTCTCCCTGGAAGAGTAGAGATAAAGCACTATAGGCAATTAAAAACCCTTATAGGCCTGAAGATGGTGCTACCCTTCCTCTAATCTTATACTGCAGACTTGACTTAGCTGAATTCCCACCCCATCCTAATCTTGTTTATCTTTGAGGACAGGATGCCTGCAGGTGGGAAGTCCCTGTTCAGATGGACTAGTCAATAATGGCTGGACTGGAGATAGCTGCTAGACTACCAGACAACTTCTTACTTCATTATATTCCCACACTGCCCAGCACCATGATGATGACCAGAGAGAACCATAAAAGGAGCAGAAAAAGGTGGCACCCAAATTCCCTAAAAAGACATGACTAATCCTCCCCTTTATTAACCTCTTTCCCCCTCATTTCTTTTCTCTTGGTGTCTATAACCCATTGACTCTCTCTCCCACTTCTCTTTTTGGCCAAGAATAGAAGTCTCCTTCCAGAGTTCAGTTGCTAGTTGGTCTTGTTATTGGTTCTACAATTCCGAGAGAAAAGAAGGACCTAATTTAGGGTCAGAAATTGGTAATGATGTTACCAGAGGAACCTAAATTAACCAGCTTTATTTAACTGGTCTTTACCTGCTATTTATTTGCTGTCCCATTAATTGCTGCCTCTAAACCCAAGTCCGTCTCCTTTGTCTTGTCACTTTTCTAAAAATTTGCTGCTCTTTGTTGAAGATACTAAAAATAAAACAAAAAAACACACACAACAACAGTAACAAACAAAAAATGACTTCACAGGCACCTCTAAGAACTACTGTACTCATTCTCCTGGTGTTTCTCATGTCTATATGAAATATACATGTCAATCAACTTGTTTTTCCTCCTTAATCTGTCCTTTGTAACAGGAGTCCACTGCAACTAAGAACCCATGGGAGTTATTATTTTTCCGCTACACATGGTATTAAAGTTCAAGCTGTTCTCTTTTTAAATTTTATTGGGATAATCCAGTGTCTACTTTCACACACACCTCCCTTTACTCCATTTCTTCACTTTCTAGCTGCCTGTTTCTGGGGTTCACTCATTCATTAACTGTCTCAGACAATACTATGTGACAGACAGACCCCACGTTAGGCACTGGGGTACAGCAGTGGACAAGGCCTCAAGATCCCTGCTCTTGTGAGACTTTTAAGGGGGAAAAACAGGTAATAAATATATAAGCTCATCTCAGAAAGTGTTAAATGCTATAAAGTTAAGGACAGATTGGTTGGGTTACTAATAGGGGGAGCATGCAAAGAAAACCTGGAGTCATTGCTACTTGAGAAAGGAAATATCAAATTGCAAAAGTTTAATTCTTTAAGCCAGGTATGGTGGCACCCTCCGTCATCCCAGCACTCTGGGAGGCTGAGGCTGGAGGATCCAAGTCCAGCCTGGGCAGCTGTTATGGCTTGTGTCTGGATGCCCCCCAAAGCTTCATCAGGTCATAGGTGGGGGAGATAGTTGGTGGAATTGATTCAAGGTGCAATGCTATACCTGAGGGCACTAGGATTAAGGGTGTGAGTGCTACCCGCCCTAAATAGTAGGAATGAGACAAAAGGAGCAGAAAGACACTGTTAAGCTCCCTTGTTGGTTGGCTACCTCCTGGCCCCATAAGTGGTTTCTCCTCTGTGATGCTACTTGGCCATGTGCCACCCTGCCTTGGAGCCAGCTGATTATGGACTGAAACCTCTACAATAAACCCTTTCCCCTCTAACTTTGTGTGTCAGGTATTTGGTCTTAGCAATGAGAGAAAAGTAACTAACACGGCATCTTAGCAATTCAGTGAGACCTTGTCTCAAGACAAAAAGGGCTAGGGATATTACAGCTCAGTGTGAAGGCCTCGGGTGCACCCCCAGTATAGGTGTGGAGGGGAGCTTCACTTTTTAAACCAGTTTTGTCCCTCAATCTTTTTTGTTTTGTTACTGACTTACAGAGGTCACCATGTCGAGACCAACAGATCATAGCTTCTGTGGCTCAGCTATTGGAAGTAAGACATGGTTTCCTGCTGAGTTGCAATGGTGTTCTGCCTCTCATGGGGCAGGTGCCTTGAAAGTGTGGCCCGTATAAGTCACCTAAGACAAATGTCACTGGTCAAGCTTGTAATGGCTACATATTCAGATTCAGGGAAGACTACAGTGTGCCTCCAGTACCCTTTATCCACACATTTGAGGACAGTAGGGGTTAGGCAACTGTATGAAGGTAGACAGGATGGTGTGACTAGTCCAGTGATAACTAGAATAGCCCTCGTTATTTCATATACCATTTACAGATAAGGATATCAAGGCATAATAAGTGGCACAGAGGGACTTAGCATTTTTAGCATGTTACATTTTCAAAACTAGTTTTTTTTAAAAAAATAATAGAATCCATGGGGCACTCTATAATGAAGCTACATCCCCCATCCCTTTCCATTTTTTATTTGAGACAGGATCTTGTTAAGTTGCCCAGGCTGGCCTGGAACTTGTGGTCCTCCTGCCTCAGCCTCCTGAGTACCTGAGTACCTGCCAGCAGGTGACTGTTCTTAACCACGCTGTTAATCAAGACTTCATAATCACCACTTGCTTCCTCAGTTAGCTGTGAACCATGAACTTCAGTTCTATCAGCAACTTGATGAAACCTTGGAACCTAACATTCCCCTGATCTTCCTGGACGAAAATGTGTTATCTTGCATTTAACAGGTTTCTCAGTCAATGCACTGTTGTATCATGTGGAAGGCAGAGTTTTCAAAGTCTGGTCTACCATACGTTATGTAGCTCAGGTTTGCTATGGGCTGTGAGCGTTTCCTCCTCCACACACCCAGTAACAAGCAAGGAAACTGCAGCCTGCCTTCCTCCTAAAGGAAACCAAAGAATTGATATTGTGTAAAGAACTTCAAGAATGGGTTTTTAAAAAAGATTCTGCTTTTTCTACACTCTTCATTTCAGGAGGAAAAAAAAATCAAGAATCAGTATATAGCAATTTCAAGATGGCCACTTGATTACTCTTACTACACTCACTCTGTACGTGCCTTGAACAGGCTGCAAAAGTCTTAAGAGAGAAATAAAGTCAATCTTGTTCAAAATGATCTATATTGATAAGCACTTTATGTTTAAGGACTGCATCCACAGCATTTTGAGATGAAGTCTCGCTGTTTTTCCCACAGGATGGTCTCAAACTCCTGGGCTCAAGTGATCTTGCCTCAGCCTCCCAAATAGCTGGGACTACAGGCGCAGACCCCCATGCTAGGCTCACAGTACTTTTGCTTGTAGCTGGCGGAGGGTGCTTAAGGTTCCAGTTCCAACAAAAATTGTTTATTCTGTGAAACAAGCAAGCACAACTTGATTTCCATGCTTCCTTCTTATTTTAAGATTCTACATAATGAAACAGTAAAATTAGGTAGCATCTAATGAGCACTTCTAGATCATCTCATTATAAGCACCTATGCAAGGGATTCTATTATATTTTACAGATGAAGAAACTGGGGCACAAAGATATTAGTGAGTCTCCCAGCTTATTCCTAAACCATAACCAGGTCATGTCCAAGTATGCATGGTATGTATTGCTCAATTTTTTTTTTTTTTGCAGTGCTTACAATTGAACACAGGGTCATACCCATGCTGCTCAAGTACTCTACTACAACTGAGCTACATTCTCAGCCCTACTTTTTATTTTAAGTCAGGGTCTCACTGAACTGCCCAAGTTGGCCTCAAACTCAGGATCTTTGTGTCTCAGCCTCCCCAAGTAGCTGGGATTATATACACATCACTGTGCCTGGCTTCAGTTCTCTCTCCCTAGAACCGAGGATTGAACCCAGGGCTTCTGCACTGAGCTATATCCCAGCCTTCATTTAATTTTTTGAGATGGGGGCTAAATTGCTCAGGCTGGACTTGAATTTGCACTCCTCCTGCCTCAGCCTCCCAGAGTGCTAGGATTACAGGCATGCACCACCATCCCTGGCTAATTGCTTTTCTCTTGCCTCTGAAGTGCACCTCTGGCTGCTCAGCTCACTACTGGGCAGTGAAGTACCACAAACAGAAACGGGTTCCCACATGGTGGGCACAACCCTTTTGATACGCAGGGGATCTAATGGTCTCTAAAGCAGTTTCCAACCTTGGCTGTGCTGGTATCATCACCTGGGAGCTTTAAATGACACTGCAGCCTGCCTCCCCTTCAGAGCTGAGGGAGACCCTGTCTCAAAGTAAAAAGGTCTGGGGATGTAGCTCAGTGCAAAGGCCTTAGGTTCAGTCCCCCAAAATCTCAAAAACTGAAAAGATCTGAGCCAGTGTCTTTTTTTTTTCCTTTAACAACTTCCAATTGGGAGATGACTAAGCCACATCCATCCCATAATGACAGGGTCTTAAAAGAATGCTCACTTAAATCTACTAGTTATTGGTGAATTGATCCCCACCTACTAGACTTTATGATAACTAACGCAGCCCACCCTGACCCCACAGTGTGATCTAGAAGGATGAAGGTGGAAAATTTTATCTGCCCTCTCCCAACATGGGTCAGTTTCCCTGTCCTGGCACAGGCAGCACAGCCGAGATGGGCCAGGGCAAGGGCAAAGAAAATTGAGGTATTTGCTGGCTGCTACAAAAATTGCACTTGACTCCCTCACTTCAGCTTAATCATCAACCATTTCCTGGTCAGTGTTGCCCTTTGTAGCGCTGGGCCCACCCCTGCATGAGGCTGGACCAATTCTTGCTCTGGTTTGTTTCACAGTTCATTTGTCTTTGGAGGATTAGGCCATGCATCCCTTTATGACTTTCTCCCTGGATGTCTGCTGGGAATGCAGCAGCAGACAGCCTCAGCTCTGCGTAAAGAGCATTCCCACATTCTACCAGTGGGATGAGATGTCTTCCTGGACTAGCAAAACCTGTTTTTTAAGGTACAAGAGTAGGAAAGATCACACTGACCAGGATCAGGCCCTGCAGGTAAAAGACATCTACCAGGTTTGCAAACAGCCACTTTCAAAATCATTCTGAAATTCATTTTTTTCCCCACCTCTTTAAACCTCACCTTCTTCTCAGTACAAGTGGCTGGAACCTAATCCTTTTGGTTTTGAAGAATTGCCTTTAATCATTCCGTTGAAGCTACCCAAACTGACCAAACCTCCACATTTGTTTTCTTAGTACCATGTGGAACCCAGCCACCTACAATGCAGGTCCTACCGCATTTCACGTTTCTCCCTTTAAAACTGAAGTGTCTCCATCCATTTGTCCTCCCACAATGTCTTCTTGTGACTATGTCTTGGTAAGATATTTTCATTTACAGTAGAAGCTTTGGTCTTATCTCTACTTCCGTGGTTTGGCCAACTAAAAGCACTGCCCCCATCTACATCCTCCCCCACATCCTAGAACAGTCTCAGGGACAAAGGCAGACAAACCACAACGTATGTGATCCACTGTGAGGTTTGGAGAGAGTAATTTGAAACTAATAATAAAGTGCCAATATTTCCAACATTTCCCCTTCTATAGAGATAGTCTAAAGTATCATCATTTCCTGTATTTTTTGGGGGATGGGGGAAGTGGGTAGAATCATAGGAGACATATAAAGCACTGTCATGACCTTGAGTCAATGTCATTTATGCCATAGCTCCACTGAAAGCACAGCTAACAGAAATGGATGGTGATTATACATCAGCATAGTGACTTATCTGAGTGAACCCACCAGACCGGATTGACAAACAGGCAAAAAAAAAGTGGGGGAGGGGGGTTCAAACCCACTGGCTCAAAATTAAAAAGTGCCAATTACCTATTTCTTGGAGTGATAACACCTGTTTTCAAAGCACCAAGAAGGCTAAGCCTTTTTATCAAATATAGTGGAAACTATTACCCAGTATGCTTTACAGACAACAAGTATTTTAGAATATTCAGGCCAGGACATGTTATATTGTTTGAGCACCATACATGCTTTATTTTCTCACTAAGTTGCCATAATCCAGCTAGAGAAGTTTCATTAAAATGTTTAAATCTAAATGAAGTGCTTTGGTGGAGAAAGTACTTTCTAACTGGCTGATTCTGTCAATCAGCCTTGCTCTCACATCTGAAACAGATTCTAAGGAAGTGACTCAGCCATAGGAACCTTTATCTTTTTATTTTTATTTTTTATGGCATGGTATACTTGCTAGTACTTTATCCCTTACAGGCACAAGCCTTTGAAGCAGATGAATCAATGCAAACAGACAACTTGTAATGTGTAGGTTTTTGTGGTGCTGGGGCCTGAACCCATGGCCTTGTGCATGCTAGACAAGCACGCTACCACTGAGCTATATCCCCAGCCTTTGTTAAGTACCTTGAATAGACTGCTTATAAGATCACTGTGTTATTATAAGACAAGGAAATTTTAAAGACTTAAGCATCAACTAAAATGAGCATCAACTCAAGAAAGGATCACATTTACATTGCATTGCTTTGGGTACTTGTATCTCTGGCTGATCTAAGATTATATGGGACACAGAAAGTAAAAAAATACTGGAAAATATTTGTTTTGCTTGATGAAATAAAAAGAAATGCAATTCAGGTTGTCACTTATAATTTTAGAGTTTCACATATAGCAATGCTGTTACTAAGCAATGAACACTTTCATAAAAAATTTATTTCACACTTTTATACAAATATCCACAGGTATTTTCTAATCATGAAGTAATTTTACAATGCTAGTTAGTATAAAAAATGTATCAAATGCAAACAGACCAGTGACTTGACTTGAGATGACATTTTTAACAACTATAAATTGAAATACCATAACATTCTTATTTCTTTGTTGTTAAACTACCCCTCCCCCACCCCTCTTTTCAGGACATTTATTTTTATAACAAAGGCTTACAAACACTGTCAAAATATCAGCTTCTTAGTGTCCTATAACAAAGCCAGTGAGTTAGGCTCCAATTTACCCAAGAAACTGAGACTTTAAACACTGTTATAACCTGTTTTAGAGAAACTTTTGTAAACAAAATTCCATTTGCAAAATTATTTTTTGAATAAAATCTCTAAAATACAACCAGAATAAAGTTCTTAGTATCCTAAGGATGTAAGATTTGTAAAAAAGAAAAACAAACAAACAAACAAAAAATGCCAAAGCAACAATGGCACATACAGCTGTCTTTTGTTCTTTTAAAAGACTGAGGGCCCGGGATTTAGCTCAATGACTCTGCGCCCTGCCTCGCAAGTGCTAAGTCCTGAGTTCGATCCCCGGTACAAAAAAAAGATTGATACACCGCTTGTACTACATCCAAATTAGCACCTGTTTGCTGTTGCTCCCATATAACTTAATATATCAAAGCACAGTAAGTTGTAAAAGTCAGGTTTCATATTTATTCAATCTCTGTTGAATATATAGAGTGACAATTGTCTTTCTCCTCCCATCCACACAGCTTTACAATTAAACCATTTAAAGATCTTGTTAAGGTAGTCCCCCAAAGTCATTTGGGGAATTCAGATAGGGGAAGAAACAAAATAAAATAACATTGACTCACTGATTGAATGGCTCCAATGACACCTAAAAGTTAGGAGCTATGATATTCTGCCTGACTAGAATCATGGTTTTGGTAGCAGATACTCACTCAGTAGTCTCACACTGGATGGGTCTGGACCCACCCTCTGCGCTCACCAGTTTCTTTCAAGCCCTCAATATACAGTATTTGCAGCAGTGAGTAAACATGTCCTAGAGTTCAAGGAACAAAATCATTTTCTTTAAAAGTTCCTGAAAGTTATAGCATGAAATCTAAAAATATCACATAGGTCTCTAAACTAAAAAGTTATCAGATGTCTGATAAACAGTTAAATCCTTTCTTCAACCTTTTGGGTTGGGGGGAGGGGATGCCAAGGAGATGTTATAATTTACAGATAAGTTATTAAAACAACTCTTGGATACATTTACAAAGAATTATTATTATCTTCTGGCAGTAAATCATTTAGGTCAAACTAATGACCTGCCATGTTCTAATTCTGATTGCGTAAACCAACATGAAGGATCTTTGGCGTGTTAGTCAATAACAAAATGGTTTGAAGAAAAAATAAATATCATACACAAACAAATATAACTAGCATTCAAGTCTGCTGCACCTGTGTGTTTTAGTGAAAAGGAGAAGGAAACCTGCAGGCATTTGGCGAGTGCAAGGATTCACACATCTAGGAAACGGAGCAAGGACAGGATGGCAATGTCACCTATTGCACATTTAATAAGAGCACTTTAAGCCGAGACAGGACAACCCCAACAGCAGAGCCCTGTGCCGCAGGACAGTTAATCTGCACGTTCTCCAACCCTACGGCGGCAGACTGGGCCGGCCACTCGGTGAGTGTGGGTGATCCTGGTACCCTGCTCCAGCTACACCCTCAGGAGGATGTCGCCTGCGTGTAGCTGGGCAGGCCCTTCCCCAGCACGTGTTAAGTCAACCACACCAAAATCAAAGGCAACCCAGAAAATTAAATTAAGGCAGTTAAAGAAAAATCCACTCCAATAGTCTTAAATTTGGCTGTGCAAACCAGGAGCCACCTTCGGCTGAGTAACAATATCCACAGTTTCAACTGTAGCTTCGTACTGCGTGTTGTCAGTCTGAAATCAATCTTCAGATTTTGAACAGGCTTATAAATCCATTTGAATGTCTGAGTTGAAAAAAAAAGGCATTTTGGGTCCTGTGAAGCTTTTCTGACCCCCCCTAGGAGTAACTTTCATTTTCGTTCCACTTTGTGATCCACTGTTTCTTTTCCAAGTTATCATTATACTTTTCATCTTTGATCTCTCGTTCTTCTTTCCGGATCCTTACAGCATAGTATCGGGGAACGCTATCATCGTACCTAGAGCGTTTAAAAAATCCACACTAGAGAGGGGGAGAGAAAAACAGACACAAATTAGTGCATCTCAGGGAAAGCAAGTGCAGTAAACAGAAATGTCTAAGCTGTCTGTTCAGCCATGTCTACCTTTGGACCAAGGGAAAAGATAACATTTTAAGAAAGCACTAACAGGCTGAAAAGAACAGCCAGGAGAAATGTTAGAGAACAGCTGTAAAACTGAAAGAGAAGTCCATTTTTACTTTGTCTTTATATTTTATAACAATTTAAAGTACCCCTTGACTGGCAAGAATCTGCGACTACTTCCATTTAAAAAAATCACAGTATTATATATAAAAGATGTAATTTTCAGATTAACCTTTGTATCACTTTAAGAACAATTTTTTAAAAGCAAAAATAAAAATTATTTCTTGTTCCTTGCCTGCTAACAAAATGGAAATCGGGCCACAAATATATAACAAATTGCTACTCGAATATTCCATCTTCCAAAGGGTCAATCTAAGAATCTTCTATCCTCCCAGGCTTTGGAACACATATCACATGTTTCATTAGCTACGAGATAATTTACACTGCTTGGATTTGCTGCTGTGCTTCCAATTAAGCTGTTTCATTAATAAATCATGAAGTAATTGCGTCCTGCAATTAAATCAATCATGTATTGCACAGGGCTCGAGGAAAGTATGCTATGCTGAATTCTGTAACACTTCAGTTTCTCCCTCTTTTTGTAAAAAGAAAGCATTTACATTCAAATTGCTAATGTATATATACTTTATTCACTTTTTAAAAAATTATTCAATCTTATCAAAAGTATACTTTGAGAATATACCTGAAATTTTGAATCAGATTGAATTTTTTAATAAAAAAGGCTTTTGTAACACAAGTGTGTTATAAAATAAAAAATGCAGCTTGGAAGAAAGAAGATACTTACAATGGTCAATTAATGGTTTATTTTTTACAGTAACAGGAATAGAACATATATGTTGAAATGCCATGGAGTAAGACAAAAAATCATGTGTCTATTTAACTCTCAGTCATTAGGCCAAATGAACCAAGAAGTTTTGTTTTATGCTATTTCTTGGATTCACTTATTATTCTGTGCAAAAAAGCCAATGTACTTATATCTATTACAAAATATGACTGTTGTCTGCCCCATTTATAAAAGGGAGAAAATTAAATAAAATGGCAACATTGAGATTCATCATGACTGCCATGGAAAGGGATTCTAGGAATAACTCTCTCCATTCATGGTCACAGAAATAAAAAAAGGACCCACTTACAATTCCTATTATCATGGAAAAGCAAAATATAAATTTAAAATCAACTGATACCCAAGGTGGAAAAGAAATCTCTAGGAACATGAAAGATGGTCAAACTCCATTACAACATATTTAAATAAAAATTGTCCCAAACATTTTGCTGTACTAGAACTTTATATATTGAAGGTTATTTTGGTAGAAGACCATCTCCTGGAGTTGGCCATAAAGCTAATCATTTTTTGTTGTAATGGTCTTTGGCCTGAAGGAGATATGTAGGAAAAGGAAGCTGCATGCTTAGCTAGCATAAAACAATCTCTCAGCAACAATACAAAGCATTCCAAGCCTGCACCATCACTTTAGAGAAAGAACAAAAAGATAACAGTGAGGAAGCCGCTTCATCAAGAGAAACACATTTCCGACATGCAATAGGTTAATCAGGCAGTCAACACAAGCTTGTTATCCCTGAGAAATTCCAAAATGCACAAGAAATCGGTGATGATTTCTCATGCATCCTTGAAATTCCAAGTGGGACACTATACACTGGATTAACAACAAACTGGGATACTATGGAGGTCTAAAGCCCTTTTATGTGTACGAAGACTATGCTTTTCTTCATTGCTATGGGCATGGTCTAACAAGAACACAAAACAACTCACCTGCAACAAAAGATCCTTTCTGCATTGAACAAAACAAAACAACTGTGCACTTTCAAGTAAAGTAAATAAATCCAAAGCAAGGCAAGCCAGTATGGACATTTGGCAACATCTGTTAATGGGACACACACACAGCAAGCTGTTGCTCTTTAAGTTAGCCACCACAACCATAGCAGGTCCCACAGCTAGCAATTAAAAAACATTGATCAATTACCAATTACAGAAGTAGATCATTACTATGCATCAGAAGTAAGCCTCTCTTTATCAGATGGCTGAGCATGGATCTCAGCCTTGTGATATGTGGCATCATAATGATCTTTCTTATTTCTCTTGAAGAAACCACACTACAAGGAAGCAAGGTATTTAGTCAATTTTACAGTTTTGTGGATAAGAGCTAAACAATAGAACATCTCAGATATTAACCTGTTTTCTATTATGGGCTGCTTTTGATCAACCTGCTGTGAGCAGCCAACTCATTACATTACACCATGACAGCCAACACTCAACCCATTCTATCACCATGGTCTCTGGTCAAACACACGTATGGATGGCACTGGTCAGCTAACTGACTTTTTTATTTGTAACAGAAATCTTGAGAACAAAAATCAATCTAAAAATGGAAAACATATGCATACTGGATTGTAGCTTGGGTGGTTTCTTCTTGAAGAATACAAGCTCCAAAAAAGTAGGCTACTAAGACAAAGACTATAGAATGTTCTCATGTGAAATTTATCATGATTCTTAATTAACATTTAGATAGACCACGAGTATTTTTCTACCTTTTACAGTGAACTTAATGAAACAAATGCCATCTACTTGGGACCTTTGGATCTGTGGATGAATCACAATACAAATTCGAGTACACTGTCATGAAACAGTGACTACTGTCATTTTCCCAAATTCAGAAGCACAATGTAACTCTTAAATGGTAGGAGCCCATGTTCCTCAGGTTAGGTCACTCTAAATAAGTATAAAAGAATAATTTTATTTCCGATTATGATTCAACATTGGGGACCCTTTCCTATTTACTTTTATCTAGATCATAAGGCCATGGAACTGCCTTTTGAAATAACCTGGTCAAATAAAATCTCTCCTGGAAAATTCTACTTCCCAGTGTGGCAATCATGAAGGCAAAATCTAGATCCACTTTGTACAGTATGGCAGTTACTAGCTACATGTGACTATTCAAGTTTTTTTTTTTTTTTGGTACCAGGGATGGAACTCAGGCCCTTGAGCTTGCAAGACAGGTGCAGTGCCATTGAGCTAAATCCCTGGCTAAAATGTAAAATTCAATAACTCCATTGCACTAGCCATATTCCAAGTATTCAACAGCCACATGTGACTCTTGGCCACCATCTGGGGTACTGCTGCTCCAGAACATTTCCACCATGACAGAAAGTTTTATTGAGCAGCATTGAACTACACTATTGTGGTATTTCTGTGTGTGACTCAATAGAATACACAGTGAACACATGAACTTTCAATAATAACTGCTAGTAAATAGAGTGGGAAGAAGAAGAAACCAGGAACTAATAGACCTGGTCCCTTCCAGCTTGGCAACATTTTTAATACTCGTGGGCATGGGGATCTTTATCAGCAAAACAAAGGTGACTGGATTAGTGCAGAAGACTTATCTCTTATCAAAAACAACAACAACAAAAAACAAAAACACAAAACACTAAGAATCCTGTTCAAAACCAGTATTTAAAGCCAATAAAATCAGAATTTCCCTGGTTAAATTGGAGATACCTATCTTAGCTTAGTTTTGCCTCCTACGAGGATACACAAAATTCAGTTTAAAGGCCACTAAATAGAAGAATAGAATCCCCCCCAACTCCCCCATTGAATCCAGATCCTCACACTAGGCAAATGCTCTTTCACTATCCCCCTCTAATATTCTTTCTGACCCTATAATTCCATGACAATCACCTTTAGAAAGAAGAGTATAAAGAATAAAAATGTCTTTTATGTGAGAGATGTAGAAGTTACCTGGTTATTTTAGGTCCCTTTGTGAGTCTGGATATTTAGACCTTCCCAAATCCAGTGAGAGCATCTAGTCCAATCCAGTTATTAAACAGCAAAGGCACACCAGGAAGGCAAAATGATTTGCCCAAGATTATACATAGCTTAGGTTTTTTTAAAACTCTCAACCCCCTGCTATATCTCAGTGAGGATTAAAGATGGCCAATAAGATCTTTTCTGGAGGTTATCCTTGTGATCTCTTCCAGATCAAACCTAAATACCAAACACCACATGTAGTGGGTATTTTGTTTTTGTTTTTTGACGGTCATGAGTATTGAACCTAAGCCCTTGTGTATGCAAGCACTCTACCACTGAGCCAAATCCTCAGCCCCCACATTTAGTTTTTGATATCAAAATAATTATCAGAGAAACTCCTAGATTGACTGGCTGTTCTTGCCAGAGAAGTCTACTACCTGAGATAAATTAAACATCAAGGGTAAAATTTGTTTGTTTGTTTGTTTTTTGGTACCAGGGATTGAACTCGGGTCCTTGCGCTTGCAAGGCAGGCCACTGAACCGCTGAGCTAAATCCCCGGCATGGGTAAAATTTGGCCAACACCCATGCCAAGAGAAGTCTTAGTGTGAGCAGATACACCAAGCTTCAATCTCGTTTGGAGAACACCAGAAAATTATCTCAGACCAGCAAAAAGAAGTTACTTGGAAAAAAAAATTACCCAATATCTGAAAGTAAGAACATTCTTGAAGCTTTGTCTACTATACTCTTGGATTCAAAGACAGGAAAAAGATGCTTTGGTCCTAGAGGGTTGTTGGTTCAGCCAAAATCCTCTGGACCAGATGTGTTTGGGAGTCCAGAATTTTTGAAATTTTCAGAAAGTACTATGCTGTATACATAATGTCATTATAGTAAAAAGTGCTAATATTTCTGCAGTAAAACTAATGAATAAAGAACAAAGACTATAAATATCTTCCCTTCACATCATGTCAGGTCTTGCCACCAAGTAGGTCATTACAAACTTTTTTTCAGTCTTTTTGAATCTGTAATTGGAGACAGGGAATGATAGACCTTCCTTATTCACTTGAAATAATATGAAATCTATTGTTATCTTGGCAAATAATATTTGTATGTACCCCACACATATGTTTTCCATAAAATAGACTATCTGTGTGCAGGAAATGAGGGAGATATACTTTATGTATAGTCAAAGGAACAAGTTTTTCTGGACAATATTGAATGCAGACCTCCCTCATGTTTGATATGGACTATGATGACTGCACTGTAATGGTGTTATTCATTCCATTCATGCTTTTCTATCCCTAAACTAGCTGTAAGTATTAAAAACCCCAATGGCTGTCATGAACATTTCTTTTCAGAACTTGAAATTAGCAGGAACACAGATTCAGATTAATCTGATACTCAATAATTTGGCTTACATTTAGACCTTAAAAAAAAACAAACAGGGTCTTGTTATGTAGCTCATGCTGGCATTGAAATTGTAATCCTCCTGCCTCACCCTCTAAAATGCTAGGATTACAGGCAGGGGTCACTGTGTCTGGGTTTAGATCCAGACTTTGATCTTATTTTAAGAAAATGTTGAAGCCGTAAAACTTAAATTTGCCATTTGCCAAACAAACTGAACTATATGCAAGAGATACCAAAAAGTATGAATTTAAGAAGTTCATGTACAACTAAATCACTTTTAAGTTTCACAATCAAATGTTAGGAAAAGAAAGCAATGAAAAAGGAGAGAATACTTTTGTTAATTCACATTTCAAAAACATGAAATGGGATTTATATTATGAAACTCAAATGCCAGGCATAACTTACCTTCCAGAGTAAAATCACTAACAGAGCAAGCATCAGTATCCCAGCAAGAACAGCCACGAGGATGATCCACCAAGATATTCCTGAGTACTGAGCCACAGTCTTTGAGGGAAATACAGTCACACGAACCTATAGGCACACAAGAAAGCGAAACGCCATAAACTGGGGCACAAGTAATCCCTGGAGTCTGTAACTCTAATTCTGCTTCTGAACACATCTTGGACAACACTGGGTGGTGAGTTGACTCTCCAGTGGAAAGTCCTTTCTCTTAATAATGATACAGTGACTCAAGAGATATTCCATGAAGATCTTTTCCCAGCATCTGGAAAAATCTAGAGTGTGTTCTGACAAAGTGGTTATTTCTTTGCTATACATACATTTTTTGGCTAACTTATTTCTTTGAACAATTATTAATAAACAGCCAATCTTTTTCAACTATATTCACAGTGCTGGGGATCAAACTCAGAGCCAAAGCAAGCACTCTATTACTAAGCTAAACCTCTGACCCTTAAACTGGCATCCTTTGGAAAATGATTATACTTCAATTTTTGGCAACAAGGAAAAAAATGGCCAGCTTGTGTACAAGTAGCTTACAACTTGGGTTTTAAAGATGTGAAATATAAAAAGACAAATGGAGCTGAGTGACTAATTTTTTAGGACATGAAACTAAAGATCTTCACAAATACAATTTCCTTGTCTGGCTAGGTGCCATCTTCCACGAAAATGTGTGAGGCCAAACTAGACCCTGGATTCATTCAGAGGGAGTGCAGTGCTTAAGCTGCAGCTGATGAGAAGCTTAAATATTGAATATTCAATAGTTGGCAAATACCAATTAAGTAAACGTAGTGTTTACTCAGAAACCTAAAAAATTGCTTGTGGCACTGCAACAACTTAAGTCATGTCCATTCTCATATGTCCATTATGTCTAAATAAAGCATATTAGATTTCAAATGGACCTTGTAAAGACAGGAGCTGTTTTTCAAAGCATACAAAGACCTAGTGATTTCAATGAATATTGATTTTGTAAACTACATTGATTAGAGATTTACTGGTTGCAGTTTCTGGTAATTTTGAATTGACAGAATATAAAGCAAAGGGTAAATAAAACTCAGAGGGTGGTACTTAATTGGTAAGCAATGTTCTGAGTTAACTATATTAGGATAACACAGGATGCTGTCTAAACATGTTTCTGTATCTACAGTGGGCTTCAACACTTCAATAGGTCTATATTTTTAAATCTCTTCAAGCGCATCCCCTTCCCACTTTGAGAAAAACTGTATCACCCCCAATGAACTTACAGAAAATACTTAAAAGAAGCAGAACTGCTTTTCTTTAAACACTTTATAGGCAGGAGTTTACATCTGGAGTCTGCAACCAGCTATGCTGTCTCCAGCAGCCATCACAATACCTTCACCTTTATCAGTAACCTGTTTCCTGTCATGCTGTGAATGAGGTCTCCCCGCAACCTCCGAGCCCCAGGTGGTCACCAGGCTCACTTCCTCTTCCCTTCCTCCAGCAGGTGCCTTAGGTAAAACAACCCTTCTCTGAGATTGCTAGGTCCAGTGTAAGGCATCCAGAAAGTAAGGAAGAAGGAAAAGATAGTGAGAGACCAGTGAAGAAATAATATATTTATGCAGCTGGTAAGCTGATTACAACAAAACAAAACAATGGCTTGCCTAAATGGAAACCATATCTCATTTAACCTTCCTTCCCTAGTACCTAGCATACAGTGTGTCCTTGAGGCAAGGTGGCTCTAAGAGTAAGCTGGCAAATAGGCTGATCTGTGGCAAGGAATCAGCCTTATAATCACCTTGCATGAGAGCCTTTAAAATGATTGATAACAGGAGAAACCACTCTTATAAATCAATGGCTGCTATCCCAAAATGCAAGAGTTGAACAAGGTAATTTTTGATTCAGCCTGGGCAGCTGGGTGGGCAGGAACCCAGTAGAATTTTATACCCCAGCTCTGGCCAACATTCAAACCAATATGGTAAAACAGCTCACTGGGCATCAAAGATGGAAGACCAAGTCAGAGGCTGACCTGGCTATGCATTTATGGGGCCCAGAAAGGTGAGAGGCTAGTTAGCAAGACTGTAGTGTTTATTTACTTAAGGTGTAAAATTATTACTACTACTACTACTACTACTATTATTATTATTACAGTATGATAGTCATTCTCTCACTGGGATGGAAGGTGGTGACAAGCTGGCCTTAGGACTAGATAATGGAATATTTTTACCAATGAATAATAACAGCTTTTACTTTTACTAATGAATGATAACAGCTTTAGGTGAGTAGAAATGGTGTAGACCTTTACAATTCCCCAAATATTTTTTTCCTTTGGTTTTACTAAAACTTAGGCATTTCCATGGAGATGACCTTTGTATGTAGACCTCACTCATCATGTGCCCATGAGAGGAAAAGGGCTTAAATGCTACTGAGGCATTAAATTCCATTGCCAACTAGTATTGCAAGTCCACATTAGCTTGCCAGCTGCCAGATACTTTTGCTGATTACTCGATGATGTTCCCTACTCTTACTGAACACTGGTATGAAAAAAAAATCACCTGAAGTGATTTTAGTGTCTTTTATATTCCATATAAAAAGTCTTATAAAAGGAAACACAGCTTAGCTTCTTCTCTGAATTTATAATCCGCCCCCAAAAATCTCATTCCTCTAAGTGATGGGGTACTTATTTTACCTATCATGTTTTATCTTCTGCAGCCAGGAAGCTTGGATGTTTTTTACCTGCTTCCTGTGAATGAAGTGGGAACACACACACAACTAACATTCCCTCCTTCCTTGGCACAATTCAACATTTCTCTCCTGGTTCTATCTCCTGATGCATGAAATTCTTGACAAAGTAGCCCATTCAATTTTGCTTCTAGCATCCAGCACAGGGAAGGATCACATGTGTCTTTAACAGGTACTTGTTGATACTTTATGGATTTAATAATCGTCTTAAAATGTAATCATTTAACCTGGTTTAATTGTGTGACTTCTTTGTTATGATAATATCTTAATTTAAAAGTGTTTTATTGGGTGGTGAGTTCAATTACTCTTGAAATTGGGTAATGAAGAACCATTATTTTTTTAAGCAGGATTAGAGTAAAAGCAATGAGAAATTGTTTTGATGTTAAGACCAAAAAGTAAGACTGAATTACACAACTTCTCCAAAGAAAATGATCCTCAGACTGGAAAGGATAGGCGAAACCAAGATGAAGATGAAACTGTAACCCATAATAAGTGAAGGCATTAAAAAAAAGAAAGACATCCTGATCCCTGAATTAAGCTCAAATCTTCAGGCCCAGAAGAACTGCACCTTAAAATACTAAAGAAAAGTATAGGCACGATATCTGAGTTACTGTACCTTAGAAATCACAGAAAATAAAGGAGGTATCTGAAGACTAGAGATAAAAAATGGTTCAGTCTTCCTCAGAAATAAAGTCCTCACATGAGACTCGTAATCCAGTCACAAATCTGCCAGTTATTTAACAAAGTAGGACCATGCAAAGATGTGGCTTCCCATTAGAAGGCCTGAGTTCTCTAAATCCTAAGAATATAAAATGCCCAAGACAACCTCATTCCCACTGGTGACTCAGCAACCAGACAAGATAGCAGGACCCCTGTTCAGTCATCTTCTAGAACAAAGAGCACTTCAGGACTCTGGAGACCTGAGATCAGGTATCAGATCCACTTGCTGGTCATGGGGGATGTTTTCTCTGAATTTGTGATTTGAGGACTTAATAGAGACCATGTGTCAGAGTAGAACAAAAGCCCCAAAATTAGACAGTTAGGAGTTTTAATCCAGGACCTCATCCTACCCTGAGTCTATTTCTTTGTTTGTAAAATGAAGTATTGCCTACCTTGGTGTTCTTCTGAAGTTTAAACAAATATGAAGTATCTAGGAAATTGTGGACATTTTATTAATATCAGTCTTTTCCCTCTAAAGTATTGAATATTTCTGCAGCTCCAAAAACTGTGATTTTCAGAGCTGCCCCCTTGTAGTCATTAGAAGCTATAGCAGTTGCCCTTAGCCAGAAATGGAGAAAAAGATTCCAGGGAGGGTGTGGTTTATAGGATGCCTTATTGATGAGAAGTGGGCTGGAGCAACTCACAGAGATAACCAAGAGCCAGGATGACCTGTCCCAGGGAGCCTGGGATAGCCTTGGTTTAAACCATTTCTCAACAAATGTATTCTGCTGAGGATGATAAATTCCAAGAACATTCTAAGGACATTCTGTATTTCAGAAGCCAGACTGATTAGGGAGGCTCAGTCAATTTTCAGCTACTGACATGATCAAAGCCAGGACATTTCCATAAGTAAACCAGTGGATGAATAAAGAGCAGCAGTACACAATCTCTCCAGTCTCTCTGGCAAAATGTTTCCATTTGCAATTCCTACCGTGACCTGTAGTCCTTCTACCACAAATTCCTAATGCAAGTCCCTGTGAGTTCTAGACCCCCAAAAGGAACGGCTTACTAGTGGATCACCACAAAGTTCTGCTCCATGCTCTGTCCAATATTTCTGTTAATTATTGGACGAAGATATAGATGGTTTATGTCCATGTTTTGAAAAAGAAAGTCTGCACAGATAGAAAGTTGAGGTAGTAGATGCTCAAAATTACTTTATAAAATGAAACAATGGGGGGCCAGGGATTTAGCTCAGTGGTTTCACTGCTTGCCCTGCAAGCACAAGGGCCTGAGTTCGATCCCCAGTACCAAAAAAAAAAAAAAAAAAAAAAAAAAAAAAAAAAAAAAAAAAAAAAAAAAAAAAAAAAAAAAGAAAGAAAGAAAGAAAGAAAGAAAAAAAAGAAAAAAAAGAAAAAAGGAAGAAACAATGGGCCAGAAGTAAATCACATATGATGTAAAGATACATTTAAAGACATGCGTTTAGATTCTTTCAAACTACTCAAAGACAAGATAAAGGAAACATAGTTCAATGAATTCTAATGAAACCATCTAAGGAGTTTCACTAGAAAACAACAAAGAAATACAAACACACTGTTCAGCATATATTTGAAAACCACATTTCAGGTTTGGGTAATGCTTATATGCTGGCAGGTAAAGATGCAGGGTGAACTGAGCAGACCACACCTTAGCTACCATATGAGTCCATATGAGATCACACCACCCTAACACGGCAGGTCAGGATGGGGAAAGGATAGAACCCATCTGGCTGGGTCTGGATGCTGCAGAACTGAACTGCTGGGTTAACTGTTCTCTGAACAGTTAGGCATATCTAAGGCAGGACAGTTTACTTCAAAGTATTACTGGGAAGACTGCTGCATGGCCAAGGGAGGAACCTTACTGTATGTGTTCTAAAGGACACAGCAAGGACAGTTACAAGGCTCAATTATAGAATTTTTTTTTTCTTTTGGTGGCGGTACTGGAACTGAACTCAGGGCCTCTGCACTGAACTACATTCTCAGCTCTTTTTATTTTTATTTTTTAAGACAGATCTTGTTAAATTGCTAAAAGTTACCCAAGCTGAGCTTGAGCTTATAGTCCTCCTGCCTCAGCTTCCCTCAGTGCTGGGATTATAGGAGTGTGCCACTGTGCCCAGCTGAGAGAGAGATCTTTTCAAGTAACTGCAGCTGGCCCCTCTTGCCATAGGCATGAAGGTGAAGGGCTTAAGGTGCACCTGCTCCCACTGACCCAACAGCCTTCACACCTAGCACATTCCTGCTGAATGGTGAACCCTAAACTGACTTCCTTTTTCCAATGATACTATTAAAACACAGCATGGGTGGTAGTGGATTAAGACTTTATCTGCTTCCTCCTTACTGGTTAAGGGGGCCATGAGGGACATGAACACCAAAGAGTGTGACCTTAGGCTGTGGGCACAGGGAGAGGGACCCGCTCTGACCAGGGTGAGGCCGGGGACTAAGTGACCCCTCACCTGAGTGCCTGCATGTGGCAGCTTGATATTTCCAGCGGTGGCGGTCACTTCAATGGAAGCCCGCACCAGAATGTCCAAGTAGTTCATCTTGGAATACTCCTGTTGGGAGAGAGTGGATGAGTCAGAAAGTGACAAGTGTCCTAGGTGGTGGCAAATGACTCCCAGGGGACAGCCTCACAGCAGGGCCAAACCTCTAGAAACGTGCTGTTCCATAACCTCGACCGCAGAACAAGAGAAGCCTTGCTGTCCAGCCCACTCAGTGGGCACCTGATGTTCACACACTTCACATTCACACTACAGTTCTGGAGAGAGAAGGAGACTCGTGGTCAGAATCCACTGTGTGCAAAACCTTCCCCCTTCCCGACCCATGTTCCCAGCTCTGGAAAAATACTCACAAGAGTCTGGTATTTTCTTTCAGTAAATAAAGAAAATTTTCTTCTATCATCTATCTGTTTTTCAGCAATTTCTCGTTTCCTTCTTGATTTGTGAGACTCCTAAAAAGAAAGAAGTATATCCACAACAGTTCCACTTTATGTAAGCTTTTGTCATCACCATCAAACTTCCCAACGAAGTAATGCTCAATTTACATAATCTGCAATCAATATCATCTCCACCCCCAGCATCCAAGGCTCACAAATAACTTTACTGTAAAACCAGCAAATGTTATGACCACCCCAGCATCAAATTTACTGACTGATTTCTAGGACAGCTTAAGGAGTTTAATCCTATGGTGACTTTTAAACTCAGGGAAAGAAAAAAAATGTTCCTTTGTGCCTCTACTGAACTGTGAACAAATGGCACCAAACCATGAGCTACTGAGGTCAGGGACCATTCCTATTCCTGTGTCCTTTGCACCCAGCTCAGTGCCCAACATGGTAGACAGCATATGTAGAATGGCCAAGTGAACTGAGGAACAGAAGAAGCAAAAAGACCCATTAAATGACTAAGTTGAGACAAGCACTGACAATTCAGCCATGTAAGAACTTGAATCCCCCTCATTGGAAATGCTTGGGACCAGAAGTGTTTCAGATTGCGGAGTTTTTCAGATTTTGGAATATCTGCGTAGTTTACTGGTTGGACAGCCCTAATTTGAAATCAGATTTTAGAGAATTGCAGGTTTCAGATTTTTGGATTAGAGTTGCTCAGCCTGTGATGAAGATAAGGAGAAACCGGGCCACCTTGCTTGTTGGAGTCGACCAGTAGAAGATCTGGCTACAGGATCCTCTACATACCCAGCTACCTTTGAGAATTTAAAACAAAATAACCAGACTTGTGTCGACAATGCAAACCTTTATCAAACTGGAACATAAACAATCTGGATACCCAGGTATGGGCAATAGAGAGAGGGGTAAAGAGTGGCAGATTGTGAAATCAGAAGGAGCTCGAATGAAGAATTTGCCTCAACACTGACTAAGAAAGTTACCTGATCTGTACGAATGAGGACAATAAGGACACCTCCTAGGACTATCTAAAGATTGAAAGGAGAAACTCATGTCTGGCATGGTGGTGAAAGCCTGTAATCCCAGAACCCAGGAGACGGAGGAGGAGCACAGCAAGTTGGAAGCCAGCTTGGGGTACACGGTGAGTTCAAGGTCAGCCTGAACTGCATAGGAGGCCATGCCTATAAATTAGTCAATCAAGCAAACAAAGCAGCCAGTGCAGTGCCTAAGTACTCAGAGAATATTTACTTTACTATTTTAAAAATAAGAATGAAAGCTTTCAAGGTCATTTGCTAAAGAGCCAGTATCTTTTGTAATGAGTTGTAATGAACGTGCCTGGCATTAATGCTGGCTGGCTCACTCCCAGGGACATGTCCCAATTCTCCTTAAATGGCACACCGGGTCACAACGCTGCAGGAAAAATGTCACTTGCCTCAACAAGCACCGAGTGACTATGCCTTAGGTATCATAATGGTCACCAGTCAGCAAAAACACCTCAACCTGACTTACTCAACTAAAAAGGAGAAACTGTGACAATCAAAGAAAAAGTCAACATGTCAGAATGCCTGTCTCCTAAGAAGAGTCATGACCCTCCAGCTTCTCTTATTTACATTTAGGGAGATGTGAGAGACACATTCATTGACATACCTTTAGGTTCAGGAGGTTTATTTCCCTCGGCGGCTCACAAACTATCTTTTCCAGCCCTATGGATTCCACTTTCACCAAATAAAGCAACCACTTGCCATTGCTAATTTCTTTTGGCCACTGAATATTCAAGGTTGCTGAGCCAAGGTTTTTAAGAGGTTTACCTAAGTTAATCACCTGTTAGAAAGTAATACATATTATCTCAACATATTCCTTTTAATGTAAAATTAAATTAAGTAGTAAGTCCTATTGTCAAGAAAGAAAAGCTAAAACATACAGCACAATCCTACAGTAACAACATAGGCTCTAAAAATGGACAACTGATAGTGTATTCAAAATAGGGATTTGTGGGCCGGGGATTTGGCTCAGCGGTTCCTCTGCCTGCTGCACAGGCCCAAGGTCCTGAGTTCAATCCCCGGTACCAAAAAGGGAGGGGGGAGATTTGTGCTTAAATATTTTTGTAAATAAAAACAGGAAAAAAAGAGGTTAAAGAGAAATAATCGCTAATTTAAAGGCAGGTACAACTGTTGTATGCAACACAACCAGCAGTGTTGACATACCAACCCAGGAAAAGTCCTGTGTGCATTAGTACACTGTTTGAAACCACCCTGCTCAGCAGGTGACAAACCTGTGCTGTGGCAGTGCACCAATGACCTGCTTCTGGAAAACCTGACCACAGTGAAAATGAAGCTGTCTCTGTCCTCCACCACCCAGGGGAGGCTTTCTGGAAAATCATGCGACAGCCATGAATCTGAGAGCTGGAAACTGTGGAATTTCCTGTAGCAGGAGCCAAAAGCAAGAGGTCAGAGCCCTGTGTGTCTGTGCGGAGGGCTGCTCCAGAACCCTTAGGCTGGAGTAGAGATTGTACCCAACACTACTTTCTGGCCGGGCAGTCTGTATTGCTGGTAGACACCACGGGGGAATTCAGCTTCTTCATCCTGTCACAGTCAGTGGTGGGCCTGTTCTGGCCATTTCAGACTTTCACCTCAAACTCATTGTGCTTCGAAGGAATGTGACTTGAGTTACAGAGATCCTAACTCACGTAAGAGTTATGAATGAACTGCATACCATGTGTTTATGTTCACTCACTTGGACAAAGTCACAGTGACTGCCTACTTTGAAGTGGTTCAAACCCAATCATTAACTTCCTTACTGGCATACACCGAATCTGTATCACCATCCCCAAATACTTGGGAAAGGGAGGCAAACATTAATTGCTGCGGTTTATATCTGGATGTCCCCTGGAAACTTCATGAACTCAAAGGTGGAACTTATGAAAGCTGACTGGATTGGAGAACGTCATGGCTACAAGTGATGTTGGAAGAGGTAGATCAATGGGGATGCGACCTGGAGGAGTTTATTTCCCTTCTCAGTTCCTCCCTTCATTCTCTCTGCTTCCTGGTTACTACAACACGAGCACCTAGGCCCTTCCTCTAGGCTGCTTCTGCAAGGAGCCAGCCAACCATGCACAGTCCAAAACTTCTAGAGCATCAGCCAAAATAAGCCTCTCCTTTGAACTGTGGGTGTCAGGAATTAAGTTCCAGTGAGGAGAAGGTGGCTATGACATTAACAGTCTTTCAACCACAAGCAACAAGAAACATGACCTAATAATGGAGGAAGAAATAAGCCATACATTCTAAAGTCCAGCAGAAATTACTTTGAGAATTTTCTTTGTTTTATAGACTCTAGTTGAATGGGGATTGAGTATTACTTTGTCTCTATACCACACACATTAAAACTCTAGTAGGAAATAGACTATAATAAACTAGATTTTAACCAAAGGACTAGGCCAAGGGGCAGATGGTTCTCTACTCTTGAGGATAAAGTCTTTAACTACAAACTAGTTTGTTGTTTAAAAATTTGCAAGCTCACATTTTAACTATTTATTTGTAATGCTTTTTATTAGTATCATCTACTTATTAAAAAGACATCCAAGATGGTATCTAGGATATGGTAGTTTCCATATAAGAAAAGGACCAACTGCTCCAACTCACCTTGAATTCATACTCTATTAAACTTCCCACTTCATCCTCAGATTTCATAGCTTGCTCACCCATGACCGTACCTCCAAAATACACCTGGGAAGGTTTAGCAACTCTGTTAAATTAAAAAACACCAGTTTTAGTAAGGATTATAAATGGTTCTTTCAAACACTGATTTGTTATGCTAAACACAAACACTTACCCAGAGACCGATAAAAGCAGTTCAATAACCACTTTTGCTTTAGCTGTAATTGAAGCCAAATTATCTTGATTGCTTGTTCTGAAAATGAAAAGGAAACAATAGGGTTTTATTTTAACAGTCAGTTTTCTCATTACAATTACACTTCTTTTATGTGTTAGATCAGTGCCAATTCATTGACTGCCAGGGTTTTCACGAAATAATTCTGGATGGGAAAGTGGAAGTAACACTTACGTTTCCAACTTCAGGTTAATGTCCAGATCAGTGGTGTCAAAGGTGACCTCAGTTGTACTTAAGATCAAGTAAAAAGTAACCTAAAAAAATATAAATAGTTGTTAATACAGGCCAAGCACATGTATATGGTAATGGTATTTAGAAAAGAAAAATATAGTAGGTGGAGGCATCACCTACACTGGAATTTCTTTTAAAAGGATTTCCGAGTTCACAGTCTACTTGGGAGCCATTCTGGTTGGCCACACAACTCAGCTGTTTCTCCTGTAAGAGAGAAAGGCAACAGGCTGCAGCACAATGATGATCACAGGCTGCATGGTGCTGGAAACCCCCCAACCATGGTCCCTGAAAACACTTACAGGGAAAGCCCTCAGCTCTCGGTATGCTGAGTATGTCAGGGTGTCGGGAAATGTCGCTATGAGTTTGGCCTCGTGGGCATCGTCGCCATCTTTTTTGGGATTTCTTGGATCAGAGGGACTATTTGTCACTGTTATTTCCAAAGCAATATCCTTCTGATCTTTTAGAACTAGTTCTGGAACACCTTTTTGGCTATTAAAAAAACAACAAGAAAAAGAGAGTCGGACCCTATATGTTTCCAAGATTCTTTCTTAAAAAGCCACCTAGAAGCCAGAGGTGTGTTTTGTTAGCGCTACAGAGTGATTCTTACATTGGGAGATAAGAAAATTTGTCTTGGTTTCCTTCTCGGGTACAAAACTTATATCCTAGTTTAAGGTTGCTGTTACACACATTGTCGTCTCCACATCCTTCTTTTAAGAAGTGTACCTGTGGGAAAACAAAACCAGAAAAGTATCTAAAGAAGTCTCCATACAGTCCATCCACAGAATCCAAGTGTGAAACATAACACTGCTACCATCTAATTCCTGCTCAAACATTGTGTCCAGGGCATCGAGACAACATGAAATAGTGTGGGCAATGAGTGCAGCCATAGGAAATCAGGACAAACCTGTCCCTGCTACTACGTAGCTGTCAGTGAAACTTTCAGCATGTATTTCACCACGGGTCATATGTGGAACCAGGTCCGCCATCAGAATTACTTTTACAGGTCTACCGTAAGCATTACAAAAAATAATGATGCTAACACATGATCTATATATTGTAATTCATCTAATCCGCATAAACAGAACTCTAAGGAAGGTTAAGATACCATTATTATAAGCCCCACTATACAGATGAGGAAACAGTGAGCTTAAAATTAGAAAAGCAAATGGGACAGTGCACTCAGCATAATGTTTAATAATGTACTCAAGGGGCCAGGGATGTAGCTCAGTGGTGTCACTACTCATAAGCAGAAGGTCCTGAGTTCAATAACCCAGCACCAAAACACAAAACAAAACAAAAACCCAACAATAATGTACTCAAAAAGCACATGGTGAAATAATTAGGAAAACTGACTCCTGTACTGTTATATTTCACTTGATTATGGAACTGGGAAAGTACCCAGGAAATATTAACATGGTAACAACCAATAACATCAAAGCACATGAAGTATACCAAAGTTTAGAGAACTCTATTTGGTGAAGCAAACAACTGACAAAGTAGAGACTTAGAAAGCCTGTGATCCCAGCTCTCAGGAGGCTGAGTTAGGAGGATCACCATGAGTCTGAGGCCAGCCTGGACTAAATAAAGAGACCCTGTCTCAAACAAAACAAAACGAAAGTAGAGATTTAGGCATTAGCTCCTGAGCTGGAAGCACCAAGTACTCCTCTGGCAAAGCTATCAGTGAGCCACCAATACCAGGAGCCTGAATCCATAACAACTGGATTTTTCCTTTTTTCTGAGAGGGACAAGGTCTCACTATGTTACCCAGGCTGACCTCAAACTCCTGGGCTCACGCAATCTTCCTGCTCCAACTGCCCCAGTGGCTAGCACTACAGGCAAGTGCCACCATGCCCAGTTACACCAACTGGACTATGGCAGAAAGTGTACAACACCAAATCAAGAAGTTTTATGTTCCCAGGCTAATCTTGATTTCAACCATCCAAAGCCCTAGTAAACAGACCCGGAGTCTTATATGAGTGTCCAGCAAGCCATATAATGCATTTCTTCCTAAGATGACCTAGGCCGCATTAGGCACTAAATGATTGTTACATTGTAACATACATTTGCCTCACTGAATTTTAATATTCTTAAGAGATTTATTCTCTGCATTTTACTGTTATCAATGATAAAATGCCATATATTTTTCTTTCTACACATAACTACGGGAGAAAACAATAAGGGAATATCAGCTCTTCCAAAATTAATCTTAATTACAGTGGCCAAAAATAATGAAGACAAAATACTGTCAGGCTCCACATTGTACTACATAGGTGTTTCTGTATTCACTGCTAATTTGGGAAACAAGTCGCCTCAAACAGTGCATGTACAAAAAGGCAGATTAATAAAGGAGCAGCCTTAAAGCACATCACTAGTTCTACTGCCTTGGGAGTTGATTTAGCATCACAACATGGCAGCAACTCTGGCCAAACAAAAGTCAGGCAGACTTACATCAGTTTGGACTGTCTTGGGTTCGTTTGAATTCAGAATCGGAAGAATTTCTGGAAGTGAGTTTACCCGCCGGCGAGAGCTGGGCTCCTGGATCTCTACAGAAGCCGTTATGGGGATGGGACGCAGTTTGTCTCTGATGTTTTCCTGCAAAGTGAGTAGTGGCACAGTTATGCTGAGATGCAACTGGTGAGCCCCAAGTGATGACTGTGTATTGCTGAATGGGATGCTGCGACCCATCTGAGGAACCTAGGTGTGGTGCCCTGAGACCCTGCTCCTGTCCTCCCCGGCAGCACTGGGCTGTCACAGGCTCACCTGCAGCCACAGGGTCTCCTCCATGCACAGCCGCTGCTTCTGCCTGTTTAGAGTGAGTTCCTGAGAATATCTGGGCTCAGATGCTTGGTTTCGAAACTGAACTCTTGACGACAGCCCATGCTTTCTTCTTTCCTTTTCAGCTTCAAGTGTGCCCACAATTGCTAGATAAAATGAACAAAATCGTATTAATTTACAACATGTTCATGTACCATCCAGCCATAAGTATGGTGAGCAGCTTTTAACGTATTTTGATTTTCCGTAGAACAACATATTCTCCACCACCTCGTTTCTCTTGCTATTTCCTAATCAGGTACATTTCACAATTTGTGATGTTTCCAGTCAAACTGTCCTTTCCTCCCTTCTGCTGTTAACGATGTTTTAAATTTTCACTGAGCCACTTGGGGGAGCTCGAGAATAAGGGAAAACATTCTCACAGCAGCTACTGACAATCAAGGAGTTTCTGGCTGAATTTCAGAAACACACAGGATACTGAAGGTAACTAGATACACCCAACATTCCCAAAGGGCCTCAACTGACTGACTCTCCATGAAATCTTGCTTCACTCACCCTCAGCGTTTGCCATTCAAAAAAGCTCTCTGGGAATGGCGGCATCTCCTGCTAGCTGAACCACCATCTGCATTTTAACAACATCCCAAGTGATTTTTATACATATAGTTTAAGAGAAAGGACACTTGTTTAGAGGAATATGGAGAAACCTTTCGACAGTAGGACAAGACCTTTCACTTAAAAAAATAAAGCATCAAATGGCAAATGATATTCCTTTTAGTGGGCGGACAGCTGTCTATCAGTGTACTACAACTGCTACCAAAGTTTCTACCCCAGTCTAGAGGGCCAGCTTGCTCTTGATTATTCCACTAATGGAGCTTGGACCAAAGCCAGTATCTGGATTATCAAAATCTCATTTCTTGACTTCAAAATGCATTCTTTGTTGGGTCACTGGATGTAGCTGCTAACCATGTTTTTCATGGGCCAATACTTAAATTACTTACATTCATTAAGCACTCACTAAACACTGGAAAGGAAAGCACAGAGTGCAGAAAAGGCAACCTCAAGGAAAAAACGTGCCACAGAAATTGGAGAAAACGAACAGCCCACATTCTAATATTCACATTAAGGCTGGAAGAAACCTTTTGACAGAACCTATTTTAATACCCTATCTTTGCAGATGAAGAACAGGAGACCTGGGGCCATACAGTGAAGGGTGAGGAATCACCTGCATTAAATCTCTGTCACAAACACACAAGATGGAGCTTTATGTAGCCAGGTAGGTGCTGGAGTCTCACCAGCCTGGGTCAGTCCCTCCAGCCCTCCTCGTCCACCTCCCGTGGCCTGCTTAGGGTCCTTATTTCTTCACACCTCACACTGGACCCCACTTCCTCCAGAAAGCCTGTCCTGGCACCTCCTGAGCATTCCCCAACCCGCCCGTGCCTAATGTGCTGTGACTGCCTGTCTCCCACAGTGCAGCCAAGCCGAAGGGACCACACATTCCCAGCAACTACTGTAACCCCCAGTAGAGACCGTGATTTGTAGAACAAATGAGAAATGCGAGTAATTCATCCACACCAACACGCGCACCGATGTGTGCACACACAGAACGTAACGTTCTTCTTAGGCTGAAACAGATACTCAGATAAAGTCTAAAACTTAGAAACACGGACAGTTTCAATAGCAATTTCTGTGTCCATGTGAAGAAATCTTAAATGTCACAGCCACCAAACGGAACGCTCCCCATTCTAGGCCCTCCGCAGCCTTGACGCCATCCATTTATCAGTGACCTCCTAACTTTACAATGAACCAGATAAAGGCTCCCTCTCTGAGTGCCCCTCATCGCAGAAGTGTGGGAGGGTGTGGATGCATTAAAACCGCTTATCCACCAAACCCACAGTAACCTTCCCTCACCCTCCAGACAGTTCACGCCATCTTAAAATCCTTGCAGGCCACTTTTGCTGACCCTCCGAGGGGCAAGCCAAGTAGATACTCATTAAGGCTCAATTATAAATATCTGAATGTATGGAACACTACATCTGAGGACCACCGAGTTCAAGTATCCCTGTCAAACAATAAGCTCACATTTTGGAATATTAGGGGAAGATTTTAGATGTAGCAACTTACGTAGCTTTGTAAAAGTTTTATTTTATTTCCTTCAGAAGTTCCCAATCCTGAGGAAGTACAAGCAATCAAAGCAAGTGCTCTCTGTCTCCATCAACAAACTTGGTTAATGGAGTAGTTACAGAATATAAAAGAAATACACACAGCATCAAATGCTGCATTAAAGCTAGGAGAAGGTTTGTCATCTCTCTTATATAAATGATGAATTTCAGAGGAGAGCTCCAGTAAGATTTCCCATCTGTAGTCAAGAGTGGTTTGAAAAAAAAAAGGCAGAGTAACAGATACAATGTTTCCCCCATTTCCTCCCCTTCTTGTTTCTCCAATCCATTTCAAACAAGGGCAAAAGGCCTGTCATCCAGGTGGGCAAGTGTAAGGTGGGACATTTGGGTATAGCAATACAAACAATACTAAAAGGATGAGAGACCAGAAGAGTGCAGTGTCATTAAAAGCCAAGCAACCAAAATGCCACTGATTGAAAATCAGAGCCAAAGGCCACAGCAAAGCCTCCATCCTGTGCTCCTGCTCCTCAGCTGCCTGTCCACAGCCACCACCCACCACCTCACCACCACAAAACCTATTTTCCACGCTTCCTTTCAAAGGCAGAAAGGGAGGAAACCATTGCGGTAGCAAATAAGTTACTTTTCTGAGGCACTCTGTCCCAAACCATCTGCTCTGGAAAATACAAATGGAGACCAAATGGAGTTTTTCCTCCCTTCCTGCACTGTGGCCTCTTAATTAAAGGGGAGACCACAGATACACTTAATTCTTTAAACAAGAATTTATGGGCCCACTTGGCCACTAGAGGTTTGCTTTTCTGTGATTTATGCAAAACTTCCAACCTGGTGGAAAGAAAAAAAAAATTTTTTTAATGTACTGGGTACTTACTTATTGGAGGATTGTAACCAGTGGGTTTGGCAGTATATTCAAAACAGGCTTTAACCTTGAGGCTGTATAAAATCAAATACATACTTCTTAAAAAGATGCATTATTGCAGTGGAAAGAACCCAACATGTTCTCCAGCTCTCCAACTCCCCCTACTGCCCATCGCTCAGTGAAATATCACCTAACCACATGACACAGCTCCCAGGACACAGAGCAACTCTCACCATATCCCGCTAGGGGCCCCACACGTTTTCTGGCGGAGGTCAATTCTGTTCGGAGTCACTGTGATGGTTTTCTGAATGTTAATCACAGGCCGGGATCTGAAGACGAAGAAGTGAAAAAATAAGCTCAGCCTCTTGTTACCTTGAAAATGAGATTCATTCACATCTAAATGGCATCTCAGCTGCCTGCTAGATCCTAAAAACCACAGGAACATGTCTGCACATGATTTTTCTTCCAGTATATAAACAAGTTTATATAACTTAAGTAATATATTTTAAATTATACTCTACTTAAAAATTTACAAACGCTGTTATTTATGGCACAGAACCGGTGATTGAACTTGGGATCTTTGCACTGAACTGCATCCCAGCCCTTTATTTTTTAAGACAGGTCTCACTAAGTCCCTACTGCACTTGAGTTTGTGATCCTCCCGCCACAAGCTTCCAAGGTGCTGAGATTACAGGTATGCGCCATCACAATCAGCTTTCAAATTTACAAACTTATAAATGGAGATATTGGATGTAAGTATGTAAGTTTCAAGAGTTTTAGAGCAAATATGCCTCCATTATAATATGCCCAACCCCAAGTAGCCTTTATGTTCTTTCAGAAACCTATCAGTCTGTGTGTTTCGGTTACATACATTATCTAAACACAAAAACTAGATACGGTTTCAACTAAATGGGAGCTTATTATAGGAATTGCTCTGTACGTTGATTCGCCTTATTCATTAACATTTTGGAGGTCCTCTCATAACTATACACATAACTCTAGTTCATTGTTTCTGCTCTGGCAAACATTACAATGTTAATTTATGCATCCACTCAAGTTTATCTGTAGGATAAATTCCTAGCAGTGGAACTGCTAAAAGACAAAGAGCACATTCATTTAAAACAATTACTACAGGGCCAGGGATTTAGCTCAGTGGTTCCATCACCTGCTTTGCAAGCACAAGGTCCCAAGTTCGATCTCTGGTACCAAAAAAACAAACCAAAACACAACAAAATTACTATATTTAAGTTTATTCTTCATTGATACATGAAAACTATACATATTTACAGAGTACCATGTGATGTTTTGATACATGTGTATATTGCATAATGTTAAACATACTTATTGCTTCAAATGTTTATAATTTATGGCAAAAACATTAAAAATCTTCTTCTAGCTTTCTGAAACACATGTAGTATATATACATTAGTCTATAGCCACCCTAATGTACAATAACACACCTGAACACCCTGCTTGTATCTAACTGTAATTTAGTACCTATTGACCAACTTACCCCACCCTTGCCCCATTTTCCCAGATTCTGGTTACTACTGCTCTTTTCTCAACTTTTATGAGACCAGCTTTTTTTTAGATTCCATCTGAGGTCATGTAGCATGTCTTTCTGTGCCTGCTTTATTTCACTTAACAATGATCTCCAGTTCTAGCCATTTTGTTGCAAATGAGCAATCTCATTTCCTTTTTATGGATAAATAGCATTTCATGAGTATATGTACATTTTCTTTAGCCTTTCATCCATTGATGAACACTTTGGTTGTTTCCATTTCTTGGCTATTGTGAATAGTGCTACAATAAACACAGAAATGCAGATTTCTCTTTGAAATACTGATTTCATTTCCACTGGATATATATACTTAATTGTGGGATTGCTGGATCATATAGTTCTCTTTTTACTTTTTAAAGAAACTTTCACACTGTTTTCCATAATGGCTGTACCAACTTACATTTCTACCAACAGTGCACAAGGGTTCCTAGTTCCCTCCATCCTTGTCAGTACTTATTACCTATCATCTTTTTAAAGCCATTCTTTACCAAGGTGAGGCAATATGTACACCTTTAATGAGTAATCATGCTAAAGTATCTTCCCAAAAAATTGCCACCACAATACCTCTAACACCCAGGCTTCTCAATATCAAGGCATTTATATGTATGTTCTTCTCAGCAACAAAGTCAGCCCGAAGCTTTTAGTCTTCATCTTGCAAACACTGTCCTTCTGTATCCTCCCCTGGAATCTCCCATCCCAACCTTATAACTGACTACACTTTCTCTCCTCCACAGAATCTCAGCAGGAACTTGAATCCCTTTACCTCCTCCCAGCTCTGCCTTGCTGCCCACCCAGCATTCTGGAATCCACACCTTCGTCCTGCTCAGCACAGGAAAACTTCGTTCCTCTCCCTTCGGTGTCCTCCCCTGCTCATGCAGCCAAAGAGGTGACATGGTGGTTGGCGGGGGTGGTTGCTGGGATCTTGTCTCACCCTCACCTCCGTCGCTCCCCAACCAGGTTTTACTATCATGCAGGTTCAGGTGGCCTGGACTTGGGTAAACCCAGTCACCCTGGAGAAGTGTCTTTATAGGAAAATGCATTATTAATTGGAAGTGAACTCTACCTTCTGGAAGTTTCTGTTGGGCTGGCGAGGGCATGGATCCATTCATGGTGAAGGCAGGGGCCAATAAAGGGACAAATACTGCCCACTTTCCCTGCTTCTCTGTTTTCCTTTACATTTTTATTTTATATTCAGCGAGCTGTGAGTTTCTAAAATGCTAACTAGGAACATTCTTAATTTTGAGAACATATTTGAAAGGCAAAAACTGACATTTTTACTTGCAATATTTGTTCACATAAATATATTAAAATCAGTCACACCAGATGTAGTGTTTTATGTATCATACTATTAGTGCATTATTATGGCATAAATTCCAAAATATTTTAATGCACATTTCTGCCCGAGGCCTCCTTTATTTTTTAAACATACAACATACATATACAATTTTTAAATTTACTTTAACATTTCTTATTAGTGCATGTTACACATACAATTTTGAGGGTAGTTTTATGAACAATAAAAATGTATCTTTTAACACATGAAGCAAATCTTACTGGTCTCGCTGGCCCATGTGTAATTGGTGTTTATTTATTAACTACCCTGAAGTACTCGTATGGCTGAAAGGGGGATATGCCCAATACTGAGGGTGGAAAGATTCAGGTACTATACTCTGTTCTCTCAGGACCCAGCCTTAAATAAGGCTCAAGCCAGCCCGAGGACTCATTTTCCTCATTGTTAAATAAAGGGGTTGGTTTCTCCATTACCAAAGGATTTTGAAATCTGCTTTCAAACTACAAGCGAAGAAGGAACAAGTTTATAGAGTTCACTACCGACCTACTCAGAAAGACAGGAAAGTAAAGAGTATCAATTACACACAGACTGAGGCAAATATTTAATTATCTAAAGTTCAGTCGCCTATTGGAAAAGCTTGGTAACCAGATTTTAGTATAAGAAGTAAAGTTGGCCAGGGATTTAGCTCAGCTTCGGTGGCCTGAGTATCAATTACACACAGACTGAGGCAAATATTTAATTATCTAAAGTTCAGTCGCCTATTGGAAAAGCTTGGTAACCAGATTTTAGTATAAGAAGTAAAGTTGGCCAGGGATTTAGCTCAGCGGTTCGGTGGCCTGCCTTGCAAGTGCAAGGACCAGAGTTCAATCCCCGGTACCAAAAAAAAAAAAAAAGAAGTAAAGTCATCTTTTAGTTGATGGCTATACCGCACTCTAGCTCTTCCCGCTGGCTTGTAATGGAACAGCCTGCTGAAGCAGCTGAATGTCATACACTCTTCAATTACTTTAAGGTTAATACTTAATGAGCAAAGAGAAACGTGCATATAAAGGCAGCGTTGAGAAGCACTAAATAGAAGACCTCTTACATGCGTTAAGGGGGGCGCAGAGCCACACACCTCCCCAGCACAGTGGGTCAGGGGGTCCCCAGGCTTGAGACTGATGATCATCACAAAAACACAAACCTCGAAGGACACATCCTCGCTTTCCTGAGATATTTCCTTTCCAAATCTCATACACGTCTGTTTATTTGGTTAACTTAATTTTTTGTTTAGTTTCTTCCTTTGACCTCATTAATAGCTCAGACACTCTCTTCTCCATATGTTTTCACACCTCCTATGCTTGCCATCTGTAACTGACTTCTTCAGTTCTTTGCTTTCACATGAGATGGCTTTCAAAGATTTTGCTGTTTACCCAGAAAATGAATTTTCTTTCACTGTAGTACACTATTCTCTGTAGACCTTTGCTGGGACCCCGACATGGTGATTTGTGCATGTAATCCCAGCTACACTGGAGGATGAGGCAGGAGGGTAACTTGAGCTCAGGAATTTAAGGCAACCCTGGGCAATGAAGAGAGACCCCAACCCCCACTCAACAAGGGGGTCCTGGGGCAAGTTTCTAATTTCCAGGTGAATTTGGGGGTACTGTATTTTAGTTATGGAGGCTACATCTATATCTGGCACTCTTCTAAAGTCTACAGGACCACGAAGGCACCAATCTCACAAAGCACCTAGAATTTCTTAAGAGTTTCTCTGTACATTATTGCCTATGTCCCTAAAGATATTTGTTAAGATATAAAAATGACTTTAAAGTTGAACGGTTAAAAAAATAAATCTAATAGTTCATTTTTATTAGCAAGCAAAGAAATGCAAATGAAATCAAAAGATGAGATCATGTATCACATTAGTAAATATTAATCATATTCAATATTGGTAAGGCTGAGAAAACCAGCCCTCTCTTCAGTTGCTGCCATGAATATAAACTTTTATAACTTACCCGAGAGTATAATGTGAAAGTGTGCTAACCTTAACCTGTATTCCAGAATTTTATTTCAAGGAGTTTTTCTTTTAAAAAATGATCACATAGAGACATAAATGATGCATTATAGCAAACTGTGTGTGTGTGTGTGTGTGTGTGTGTGTGAACCAGGAACTGAACTCATGACCTTGCTCTTGCCAGGCGGGCACAGTGCCACTGAGCTAAATCCCTGGCCCCTATAGCACACTATTTATATTAAAGACCAGAGACTAAATTTTTATCAACTGAGGATGAATTTAATGCCTATAAAGGACTAGTATCAAGTCATATTATGTGTCTGTATGTGTTTCTGTATTGACAAGAAGTTCCCAAAATACATTAAAGTTTTACAAACCAGATTAAAGAAAGCAGTTACTATATGGTCTGCTGCTGACCCTAAAAGTAAAAAGATACTAAAAACTTGAAAGTCGTTTTGGGGAAGACAGAAATATTTAGGAACTTGTACTTTGCATAATCCTATACTAACTTTTTCAAAAAACAAAAATCTGCTACTTTTAAAACAAAAACGTTGAAGAATAATAATGTTGAATGGTGATTGCCAGTAATGATGGAAGCAGTGAGAAAAGGAGACTCAAATGCAGCTGACGACCACACCGTCAGAGCCTCTCTGGAGGCCATCTTGGTGAGCATGAATCAAGTCACGAAGCGCGTGTAGCAATGTCACTCTGAGGAATGCAGCCTAAGGAATTATCAAGAGCATGGACAGCTTTTTGTATTATTCAGACGGGGAGCCATGTAGATGACCAATGACAGTGTGGCAGCGGGTTAAATAAACCTGTACCCAGTCACGTGATGCCTCCTAGACAGCTGTTAACTTCATTTTAGAAAAGTACTCAATGGCATGGGCAAAGTCCACTATGTATCATAAATAGACAAAAACAGGTTACAAGCAAAATGTACATTCTGATCTTAATTTAAATCTCAGTTTAAATATACATGCACAATCACAGAAAATAAAAGACTAGAATATAAATCAATATTTTGGAGTTCAAGAATGAAGAGTGAATAATAAGAGATTTCCTTCGTTATGCTTTTTTCTGTCAAATTTTATATGTATTTCATTTTTTCACCAAAAGTAACATAAGGCAAGGCTGGAAATGTAGCTTAATGGTAGAGAACTTGCTTAGAATATCTGGAGCCCTGGGTTTAATCTCTAGTATCAATCCCTCCCGCAAAAGGAGAAATTTGTGAAGTACAATTTTTCATTCATTCATTCTGACCTATCATTTCAACAGTTATTTCAAATCTAGCAAGATTTTATAAAATACTCTTGTTACATTATACCCACCTCAAAAGAAAAAGATCTTCAAAATTCACACAAGCCTTTGCCTTTGAAGTACAGGTATTACAAATTTCAATCCAAAAAGTCGCAATTTTAGAAATAACTGATGTTGCAACATGCTTAACTAAAGTAAAAAATAACAAACCTGAAAATGGTTACTGAATCTGAGAGGGAACCAACAGCAACATCAGGGTAGGAATTTCTGTCAAGGTCCATATTTCCAGCAATTGAATATCCAAAATAAGGTGTTGAACCCTCAAGAACCTAAAATAAACAGGCCATCAGAACATAGAACAACAGGACATAGACAGTGGGCCACAAATACGAATGGCTTATCTATGCACTGAAAAAGACACACAGGTTTCTTCTGAAGTTTGAGTCCACTTGTAGGTAGAGTTCTAAATTACAAATATATCAAACACTTCATGTATTTTACTTCATAAAAGTCGTCTGATTTACAAAGCACCTTGAAGGATGCAAAGGCCAACTTTTCATGTCTGCTTACTATAGTAGGTCAATCAGGGCATTTCAAATCAATCCAACTTCCCTACCTGTCCTCCAAAAGGTCCTTCTTATTTTCAAAGGCAATTTTAAATGTTTGGTGTTTGAATTCTCCATATAACTACAATCTTCTATTGTTTGCCCAGTTTTAGCTTTATTAAGTACACTATTAAGGGAAGTAATGTATATCACCTTTCCATCTCTTAAGCTATCAGGATTGAGCATTCTTGCTTTGAATTACTTTGACTTTATAACTTATCTAAGAAATTTTACAATTAAAACAAGTAGGTTGGTGCAATGATATGTCTACTTTGAAACTATTCTCTAGTAATACATTGTTTGAAAAATAAAAATTCATATTATAAAAGTCCTTTTAAATAGGGAGGGGTGTAAGGGTTTAAGGGAGGGCAGGGGAATAGGGAAAACATAAGAACCAAGATATATCATGTAAAGGTACAAATTCCCAGTGATGAATGTCATCATACTGAATACCTAAAATGTACCGATAAGCTTATTGAAAAAAATTCATATTGCAGGCTCATAACTAAAACAAGATAGTATGGAAATTCACTTAAACCTAAATGTTACATTACAAGGCAAAAAGGTGAGGCTTTACATGTAGAAATAGATATCCAGGTTGTGTAGTTACCTGTGTTGGTTTGGTATTTATTCCATTTGCGGATCCATGATAGATAAAAACCTTTCCCATATCATCATAGGGAGCTCCAACTGCAATATCTGTTGACAAGATTATTTTAACAGGTCTCATTTTAAAAACATTCCAATACAAATTAGACCTCATGAGCACTCATTATTTAAACCACCCAATAATCTATAAATCATAACCACTTCACAATCTGTTATCTACCTGGGTAACCATCTTGATTAATATCGCCAATATTTTTGACAGCAATGCCAAACATAGAGTCTTTGGTTCCATTAAGACGAACTGGCTTCACATTATTCCATCTGCCTTGCTGGTTAATGTAGACATATGCTGCCCCTCCAATTTCTCCATCTCTATCAAAATACTGTGGGGCTCCAATAACTATATCTTGCCACCTAAAAACATAATGAAGAACTGTGAACTATTGGCTAAAATACCATCAAGATTTGGGAGAATATCACCAGCCCAGGCACTAATACACACAGAGGTAAGAAAGGACCTCAAGGATTTACATCTCATCTATTAAAATATTTTTAAAAAAATCAAGGTAACCTGTAATAAGAGCTGTAAGAAAAATACTTGGGATAAAAACTCAGCCAGTTTCTCAAACTTAGAGCCACAATATAGGACTCCCAGCAAATATCCCACTACTCTACTCCCATCTGACACCAAAAGTCATAAATCACACATGAATTGACTTTGTCACCAGGCCCTACTTTCATTAAGACATAGCTCTTAGGAGACTTGCCCCTTAGGAAATCACAGAAAAGAGATGTACGTGTCATTTTCTAAGTTAACTTTTTTCAAATTTTAATTCCATGGGCCCACGATCCCAAGACATGAGTAAAAACTGAATATTAAAAATGTAATTCTCCACCCTGGGGAGGATAATAAATGTCTGCTGCCACACAAAGGATGAAGATGGATGGGAATTGTAAAAATCTGGCAGCAAATATATTCTTTGGATCAACTAACCTGTAACCTGAAAGAACAGACCCACAGCAGCCAGTGAAAGAAGCAATGATTAGTTGTGTACAGTAACTTATGACATTCTTACCCATCCTTGTTGAGGTCCACCACAGCCACGTCATAGCCGAAGGAAGAAGCAAGACCTTCCCCATCAAATATGTACTCGGGGAGAAGATGTGCAGACTTCAGTTCCCTTTTTAGCAAAACCACAGCCCCACTGTGATTGGCTCTTGGAGCACCAGACACAAAAGTGATCTCATCTTTAGAAACAATACCTTTCCCTGAGTCCAAAGAAAAGCCTAGAAAAACAAATACAGCCTCTCACATCCATCCTGTATTTCAGCAAGTTCATGACACTGATAATCCCATCACTACTTTCTCTTCTGGCTCCCCACCCTGATCTCCTCCCAAACATTCCTCCAGCTATCATATTTGTGATAAGAGAGTTACAGAGCTAAGATCTATTATGCTTTCCATAGATTACCAAGACTTTTAAGGAAAAGTATCTATGCTATTTAGCATTTATAGAACTTGAATTATGAAGTCTTCATGCATGTTAAGAGTTGATTTTAACCCTATTTTAATTTTAAAGCTGTGATAAAAGGACAGCAAGCTAGATATTGTACTACCATGGTAATGTCACATCATACTCACAGAGAATGTAACCTGACTTCAACATTAGTTAATGCATGTTATGAAGTTGGGTTGTAATATAGTGACTAGTATTTTTACATGAACAAAATCCGTATTCATTCATTTCTTGGTAATCAGTGAAAAATAAATGCTAAGGTCATCAATATACTATTTATAGCATTTCATTATTTTGGATCAACTTTTAGTTCTCAGACACAGCATGCAAACAAAACTGTTCACTGATGATACACAGTATCTGAGAACCTACTACAACAGGTGTGTGAATTATTGCTTGTATCAGTTACATATGTGTCCAAAGGGCAGAAAACATTAGAATACCCAATTATGAAGCATTAGGTAGGATGTCAGATTACAAATACTGAGATTTGCTGGGTGGCAAATATACATACTCAAATCAAGATTCTCCAAATTGAGCAAATCTTTCTATAGAAAGATGAGGCAGATGCATGAATAATATAAGCTTGCCCTTTTTATTGGCTTTTATTTTATGAAGAGCTTCACCACTACTGCTGCAGGTCTCAAATTGTGAAGTGAGTTGAAAATATGATGAACCACAAGTTTAAAATAGGCCAATATTATTGAATCTAGCTCTGAAAACCATCTGGCAGCAGAGCCTCAACCATAGCATGATTTTTGTGTGTGCCTTGGGCTTGACATGAAATAGAAAATAAAAAGATTTATGCTCTGTATGGATAACAAATTTTTTTTGAATGACCATGACCAAGACAATTTGTCATCTCAGAGGTCACAAACCTAGGTAGCTATTCATCATCACATCAGGGGATGTGTCAGGCTGCTCCCTGGGAGGCCGTGTTTTATAAACAAACTGATCGGGATCTGTATAGGAAATGCTAGTCAAAAACAGCAGGCCTGTACACATGCATGGAACGAAGAGATTGAAGAAAAAATAATTATGCTTGGTAAGAGACAGGACCGCTGCTGTTCTTGCTGGCTGATGAAGCCACCACAGTATCTGGCAAGCTGTTCTTCTTGCCAGCTTCCAAAACCTCAGGCAGACCATTTTATTTCTCAAACCCACTGATCTTTTAAAATGGCAGCTTCACACATAGCACAGACAAACAAAACATAACAGTGTGAACTTGATTTCTTTCTTGGACATCCATCTTTGAGAAAATCCATTCTAAAAGTGTCCAATGTATGTAATAAAAAGCGCTTTATGTTTTCGTATGTTCTAACAGTAACTATGTTTATAAAATCCACAGGAATCTATTATAAACATCAACGTGTTGGTATCTTATCTGGAACAATTAAAATTAAATACTTCCCATCATTAAAAAAGAAAAAACTATAAATAGCACATTTGAAGAAAGAGAGATGGTTGGTGAACATCAGTTCAAATAAAATATTGGTTTGTTGATATTTACCTTGAAAAGGTGTTTTACCTGGAAAACCTACATTTAATACTTGAGACTGTGAATCCCTCTCTCTGAGCGCCCCTTGCTGTTCCTCGTGGCCACTAACACAGCAGTCACACACCTGGTGCTTCCTGGCTTCTCCTTTTCACAAGTATTTCTTTCCTTGACATGGGGGTTTTTAATGATGTTACTTAGGGCTACAAAATTAAGCTTTTCTTTTTGAGGGTCAGGGATCGAACTTGGGACCTTGCACTTGTGAGGCAAACGTGGTGTCACTGAGCTAAATGCCCAGCCAAACTGAGCTTCTTGAGTCATGGCTTTACTTATTAGTCAATAAAAGAGGAAGAGGGAGCAATAAGTAATAATCATTTTATAGTACTATCTATACATGTAAAACACTGAGTATAGTACTTGACTTACAAGAGTTGCTGAACAAATAGTATTTTTGCTTCCCTCATATACTTTCATATGAAGTTTTCATTTTGGAGATGAGGGTATATGAATTGAGAAGTTTTTTTAACAACACTACCATTCGGAAACACAACTAAAATAACAGGGTGTGTTTACTATCACATTGTTTAGAATTATTTATACATGTATACTTGTTTTTCCTTTTCTTACCTTCCATTGTTTCAATAATATCACTAGCAGATGGGTACACTCTTCCTCCCTCACTATTTCTAAAAAAATAGGTTACTATTTAGGTTTAGAAGATTTTTTACATTTTTTTCCAAGAAATGCACAGTAATTATTCTTTATGTCAACTCATACCAGAATTAAAGCTTTTAAAAGCCTTTGTGTAATTACCATAATGCACAGGAATAATTTAGGACACCATTAGTAATGCAAACAAGCCTCAGGAGTTAAGGAATTGGCACTTAGACACAATCCGGTGTCCTCAGAGCCGCTTTAGCCGTCCTGCCCAGGCTCGGCTGGGAAGCACCCGAGCCACCCGCCAGGGCCCTGTGACATGGGAGCCCCATTGTAGACACAGGCCCAACCCTCGGGGAACGACAGTCACAGGGCAAGGGCCTGAGGTCTTAACTTCAGAAGAACTTCGTAAGCGTAGCTCTTAAGAGGGTCTCAGAGAGAGACCCGAGAGAGAAGGAAGGCAGCCGGGCCACCTAGGAACAGGCACTTTCTCATGGCTGCCTCAACAGCCTGCTTTAGGTGACAGAGGCCTTCATCATTAGCTCAGGAGACAGACTTCCAAGTGGGAGGACGAAGGATTTTAGGTGATAACGGGTTTCTTCCCCCTTGAGGAAGCCCATAGAGAAGGATCCCAGGGAGCTGAGAGGTTACCCCCAGATCACTGTAGCCAAGGCCCCCGGCTCCACCTGGCCTATTGTCAGCCGACAAACCCAGGGGCTTGCGGGCTTCTGCAGGAGAATCTCACCATGTCCAAAAGGGAAGGCACGCCGCCTGTGCTCGTTCCTACCTAAATAACTGTTAGCAGGAACAGGAACGAGACTCTCATCATGGTCAGTCTCTCCACCAACTTCGTAGGGCCCATCCTCAAAGATGTTCATGTCAAAAAAAGTGTTATTCTTTTGCTCTACTCGAACAATCCCTAGAGGAACGAAATGGCAAAAAACAACAAAAATGCAGATGAAACAAATTAAAATAAATGGTTCCTAAAAACACTATCCGGGAGTATGGGGAGGAGAGATTGGAAAATAAAAGGCAGAGGAATAGGTGAATTTTAAGGTTGTTAAATGTTTAATGTTTATGTAAATTTTTATGTGAAAGAAACTCGTGCTAGTAATTTAAGAAATGCCCCATGTGTCTTCATGATCTTTATAATACCATGAAACTACATGGAAAATGGAATATTTGCTTGGACAAAAAAACCCACAGGAAACTAATTTTTTAAATGACATGAACTTGACATAAATTATATATATTTTATGTTCTCCATAATCCTCAGTCAATTTTGCTTTTTTGTTTTTTCTTTTTTGACAAAGGTTTCATTATGTAGAGTTCAGGCTGGCCTTAAACTCACAGAGATCCTCCTGCCTCAGCCTCCCTAGTGTTGGATTATAGCCATGCACCACTAGTAGATTCCACTTGCTTCTTTTCTGTAGTATAAAAGTGAAATACACTGATTTTCTCCTTAGATTGCTTTGCTTTAAATTTTTTTTCTTTTAAAAATTCTTAAAACTATAAATATTTTTACAATTAAAAGATTTCATACAGTAAGTACAAATCACAATATAACTTTTTAAAGATGACAACATTCCAAGTCAGACTTGATAAGGCAGGTAAGACATTATTTCCCTATGAATTAAAATATACATAACTACTGGGCGTTTTGTTTCATTTTACTATACATGGCATCTGTTCTTGCTAAAATAAGACTACTTATAAATTCTATCCGTCCAAGTAGGTCAGTAGGTCCTGAGACAACAGAGGCCTCTGTAACTGGACAAACCCCGTCACATGGAAACTACACTGAGGGTGGGAAGAGGACAAAGGAAATGACTCGCTAACATTGTTACACTGCCTGACACAGACAGGACGGCAAGTTCTCGGGAATAATTTCTAACGGCCGTCAAAATTTGGGAAAATTTCAATGGAAATGGGAAAACTTACCCTGACGCATGAAAACATATCATTTATTTTAAGAAGTTTCTCAAGAAAGTTTTTTACTTTCAAAACAGATGCATTTCTCCCTATCATGGATGAGAGTTTGGTTATTTGTCTTACAGAAGTTTTCTGTATCTGCTTCATTCCTTCCGAGAAGTTAAACTTCACTCCAGGAACCGACCAGGTCCCTAGGCAGTGAACGTGGGTTCTTGCCCTCTTCCCCCAGCGTCTCCTTGCACTCATCACAATAATCACACAATATCATTCAACAACTTCTCCTCTAATGGTCTGAGGGGACCACCCCGGAATTTCCCAATCTGCCGATCACTGCTTTATTAGTCAAACATGATCTTCTGAGACCATGTGCAATGCAACAGATACTTAATCCTCAGTTCTGAGATCACAAACTTAAAACAACTGTCTTTAGCTCCACAAAACAGACAAATATTAAACATTAAAATGACCTGTTCTATTACTACCAAAAAAGATAACCACTTACAATAATTTAAAGTCCTAGCAGAGAGAAAACCAATGCTAAAACATTTGCACTATTTCTTTATTACGTGAGAGATTTTAACTTATCCACTTTTCTACTATACAAATGCCTGATAACACATTTTAACTTAAGATGTAATAAATCATAGTAGATGCTATGGAAATTTTAAAGATATTCAAATATCTGTAAATGCAATTGTCATACCTTTCCAGTTATAAGTACCCGGAGCTCCAAATACAATGTAATGAAAGTCTTTAGTAAAAGTAGCTGCTACACCTTGCTGGCAAGAACCAAATTTTTCATGGCCTCTTAATCGGCCGTCACAAAAACTCCAGTCTCCTCCATCCATGTCATCTTCGATCCTAAGATTCTGACTCAGTACATAGCACCTGCCAAAGATGTCTCGGGATTCTTGCTTTGTATTCACATGTTGCCTTTTTTCATATCGATGAGCACATGTCTGCGAACAGAATAAAACAGCCCATTCATGTCTATATGATAGACAGTTACTGATAAAACAGTTAGTGATAAAACCACCAAGAGTAAAGAGGTTAGGACAGTTAAACATCTTCTCGTCCTGGGATCTGATTCCCAAACCAGCAACTCTTCCCCACATGGCTCTAAAGGGTCCATTAATGAGCAATGGGAACTAGGACTTCTGTCGTCTTCTCAGAGAGGAAGGTCTGATCCAAACACTGTATTTACAGAAAATTTATCTGATACAGTCACATAAACAAAGGGAAATATCTTCCTATGTTATAGGCTTATTTTGTAAATCCTTTATATAACCATATGTGGGGGGGTTTTTTGTTTGTTTACTTTGTTTGGGTTTTTTGAGACAGGGTCTCACTATGTAGTTGAGCCTGACCTGGAACTCACTATATAGCCCAGGCTGGTCTCGAACTCACAGCGATCCTCCTGCCTCAGCCTCCTGAGTGCTGGGATTACAGGCGTGCGCCACCACACCTGACTAAATCACTTTTTCTTGAGTTTTTCATGGTTCTATTTTCATCTGGATTCAGTAAATACAGCTAAAATAAGGACATTTTCTTTCTACCTATACTGTTTTCCTTGTTATAAATCCTGTTATTCTGAGCTGAGATTACTCTCTTTTTATTTATTTATGCATTTCTTTATTTATTTAGGTACTGTGGATCGAACTCTGGACCTTGCGCTTTCGAGGTAGGTGGCGGCACCACTGAGCTAAATGCCTGGCCATCTATCTCGTTTTAAAAGGCAGAAAGAATTACCCTGCTAGAAGAAATGAAATAATCTCTATAATTTCTACAAGGGTTATTTTTAGCCCACCTTCCATTTAACACAAGCTGGGTGGTCTGCTGATAATTCATAACATCCAAGTCAATTTCCCATAATATACTGCCAAGTATAAAAATTCAGCTTTTACTAAAATTCCCATTTTTCTCAAATTTCTATATAAATTGTTATAGTAACCAGGTTCTGAAAGCACGACAAAAAGATCAGCATACGCCAACCTGGAAGCCCTTGCAAAACCACTGAATACAATCCACCTAACAAATCCCCTTTTCATTATTCAAAATTTTAAAGTACTTAAGACATAAATGATGTCTAGTTTTGTTTTGCCTTTTTAAGACCACCTGGAATTTTAGGGATATTCAATAAAATTTTATCAGTAAATTCTTTAAATCTGCTACTTTATCATGTAACAAGGTTCACAGGAACAATAATACTTTCTTGCTTTCTTAATGGTTTCTTTCAACCTCGGTTGCTGCTGTGAAACAGGAAGTTTGCCAGAATGTTTACCCCACCCGGGAGGCGAACTGTTGTTTTCTTCACTGCTGTTTTTCCAGTGCTGACACACAACAGGCATTCAACACTGCGGATGAGCTCATTTCTCTACACTTACCACCACTTTGCCCCCCGGACCTTGGCTCTGGACTGTGACCCCCATCCACTGATCTTCCTTGCTTTCTGATGTAGGGTCGGCTGTGGAAAGCAACACAGGTAACAGATACAATGAGCACTTCCAAGGGACCCCACAGGATCTGAACAGACACCCCCACAGGATGTGACAAGGGGAACAAAAACATAAGAAACTGTTTCCAAGCTGCCTTGAATTAGTTATTGGATCCCCAAACGATCTCTCCTCTCAAGAAGTTAGAGCAATGATTATTATTAAGAACCTTTCATAAAATTCTACTTGTGGGGGCTGGGGGTTTAGCGCAGTGCAGTGGTGGAGCACTGAGTTTAACACGGTATGAGGCCTCGGGTTTAATCCTCAGTACCACAATAGGAAAAGGAAAAACTACACAGGAAACAGAGCTCTACATGTAAAATCCAGTCTGCAAAGTCCCACTGTGACCCAAACGGAAAAAAAGCAGGTGCCTCTCTATGTACTACCCAATTTGTTATACAACAGCATGAGCTTTCCTTTTCTTTACTAGATGGGGGAGATAAGGCCTCAGATTTACTCACAGCTGACAAGTGATGTACTTTATCAATGTCAAAGGGGACTGATGTATTTAATCTTAGCCAGGAAAAAAAAAGAAAAAAAAAAAAAGAAAGCGAGAAGAAACTACAAATACTACCATGTGCTTATTTCTGTTTCAATTTAAAACCACTGAATGATCTTATATCCAAATTTTGTTTCCTCGATGAGAAGGCACAATTTCCAAATATGAATCGTTACATAAATATGGAAACAACAGCTTTGAGTAGACAACAGAAAGAATGTAAAAATGTCAAAATGAATAGAAGGTATGTCTATATATGGAGATGACCAGTGGACTTTTGTTGCTTCCTTCTTCTTAAGGTTGTGTCTAATCACAACCTACAAATCACATGTACTGTTTTCTAACTAGTTAAAAAAAAGTTATTACTAAAAGATAAAGAAGCAAGAGACCATAAACACAAATCTGCGTATCTACTTGGACTGAACATATCAATTAGGTTTGGTAGGAGCTTCTTAGTACACTAACGACTCTGCTCATACTGCAGGGAGCAGGCAAACTGGACGTTAAGAGGCCTACACTGTACATCTCCCGGCTACCCAGATCCTCACAAAAGGAGTCTCCATCGGAGCAATGGGGCTGCTTTCTTCATTTCACTCGGCTCTCACTCCCGAGGGGCCTGACAGTGAAGACAGACTTTTATAATTCAGTGACACAGCACTCGTCTAGCAGGCTCCAGGACCTCGGTTAGATCCCCAAAACCGCAAAAATAAAAATAAAAGTCTTTATTCCAAATATTTTAACAGCAAGTGCTACACTTTTGGCCGCTTGAATACAGTATCTGGCCAATTTTCTTTACTGCTGTGAATTTTCAACGGCCTCTTGCAGAACTGCATAATGCCACTAGATGGCAACATCAACCCATCATATTGGTTAAGAAACCAGGGTTAGGAGAGGTGGCACAACACCTAACGCATGATGTACAAAGTAAATACATTTAGGGCAAATAAGAGTCAAGACTGATGCTATGAGAAGAGGTCCTCTTGGCAAGAATAAACGTACTCCCTTTCCTTCCTCTTGGAAAGGGCAAGCGGGGTACAGGTGGGCGGGCCAAATGACCACGGAAAGAGGGCAGAAGAACGCACCATCGTCATCAAACTCAATCCGTGTGCAAGGTCCCCGGGAGGTGATGTCGCAGCTGTACAAGCCCCCGGTCCTGTTGGCCCTCTGACGCGGGAGGGCTTTTGCCCGAGGGGCCCCCACGAGCAACCTGGTGATAAAACAGAATTGTGGAGATTTGAGGTTACTTCCTATTTAACATTTCCGTTCAGCAGAACCCAGGGCTATGGTATTCTTGGTCAAGGTGTACCAATTCTTCTGCAGCTTAGGCGGTGCTAGAGTCCTGGGGCTGGCTCGGTGAGGCAGGGGAAAAGCAATACTGCAATGAAGAGAAAACAAGCCTGTTTCAGACTCTGCAACCCTCGCTGGCTGTGAATGTGGTATTGAAAAGGCACTTTTTTTTGTTTGTTTGTTTTGTTTTGTTAATAATATGACCCTTTACTCTAAGCCAAGGACGGTATATGGAAAATGCTGACATTTAATAAGTCACAAGGTGTCAAATGCTAAAGGGCCTTCCTTGGGTATGTCTTAAAGGTAATTCTGACCACACCCTAGATCTGTAGTTTTGAGAACCCAATCTTTGTAAAGACATAAGTCAACTGAATTGCTCCCTTTCACAGCTTTGGTCTTTCTTCCCCGGCTTTATTGTCACAAGTAGAAAGTGCAAAACTTGATGTCTCCCCAAGTCACTTCCTCCTCAGCACCCCTCATCTCAGCTGAGCCCCTGCACTGTCTGCCAGTCTGGTTCAGGTAGTGACAGGCAGAGGAAGTGTCCTCCCTCACAGCCCAGTGCTCCTGTAAGAGGAGCCCATAATCCAAATTCACAGTCCTTAAAATATCTGCCTGAACAGAGAGATGCAGGGAGGGCAGAAAGTGCTGGAAATAAGGCCGGAGCTGGGAACACAGAAAGGTACAAACAACAAACCATTACAATGGAATGCGGGCCACTCCTGGTCTTAGAGAAGCCCAAAAATTCAGGCACAAAAGAAAAACAAAACAAATAATCCAAACATTCCCTCCCACCTTATGAACCCAATCAAAAATTCATTCCAGGAAAGGATTCGATGTACTTTTGAAGCCGATTATACACTGTCGCAATGCTGCAACAGGAAGCAGGGACACTTGGAGAACAGGGAGGGCACATTGGACCAGGGAGGCAATGCGGAGAGTGAGCGAGGCTCCTGGGACATCAGGACGCTGCCTCTCCTCCCGGATGCCTGGGTGGTGGCAAAGCCAGAGTCTGTCTGACATCTGAAGGAATGAAACAGAACACACCGAACAGAACACACCAGGTTCAGACTCGGAACAGGCAATGAGGCTGATATTGCAACTTCTCGGAAGAGGCAGAGGAGAGGTTGGGTGGAGGGCTCTGTGCTCAGCACCCAATGCCTAGCCCAGTCATGGACCCAGGAGCTCCAAGGCCCTGTAGGTGCAGTGCCCAGCTGGGAGGTGGGCAAGGTCAGTTAGTTGGCAGATGCAGGATGGACCCTGCTGGGTACCAGGAGAGATGAGCACGGAGCTGGACTGGTGGCAGAAAATCAAGAGGATGTTGGCTTTTGTAAACGAACTTCCAGCCTTCTGATTTCAGAGGAGGGGAGAGGCCTGCAAGGGAGTTAACAACTGAGTCTGCCCTAAAATCTCATAGCTAGCTGGCGGCCAGGAAAAAAAAATTGATCTTGGGCAATGTCTCCATTCCTTTAGGATGTTTCCTAGGAAACAAAACTCAGGATTTTAAGGAGTTTACGACCTAGTTGAAAGGGCAAAACTTATACTTATGAAACACTGAGATTTAAGAGGAAACTCTAAGAAGCTGAAAAAGAAGAAACAGAGCTTTACTGCAACTGGGTGGTAAAGGAAAGCAACTGCCAGGGGAGTTGGCTGTTACAGCGTCTTCTCTACCACTTCCTTTTCTGCTGTACCCCAGGGGGCTGCTAAGCTACCTAAGGCAGGCAGAAGGCTTCTTTCCTGTTTACCCCATTGGCCCATTCATTCAATTACCCATTCAACATTCATCAGGATCAAAAAGGAATGGCGATCCAGGCTGGGTAAGGAATTATCCCCACTCTCAAACTCCAGCCCAGGGAAGCCTGATGCATTAAATTAAATCACAGGGAGGGAGGGGCCACGAGAGGCCATCACCAACACCTGCCTGTCACCAAGCGCTGTCAGCAGAGCTGAAGATGAGGCCAGCAAGGGGCACAGCAAGAGCTAAGGCTGCAAAAGAAGGAGCCCAAGAAATTCTAGCTGCGGGGAGAAGGGCCCAGGCTCTTTTCACCTCTCTTGCTCTAGGGGCTCCTAGGTTTCCTGCACCTTGAAAAGCTGTGAAGATTGCTCCACAGGCACGGACAGTACTCCCGGTGGGTCCACTTCCTCCATCCTTTATTCCCTTGGTACCATGTGTTCCCCTGACCCTGACCCGGACCTTGGAGCTAATGCATGCAGATGAAGAGCATGCATTTAACTTGAATGTGCTGGCTGCTTACACAAAACGTGGCCACAGGATTTCTCATGGGCAATGCCAAGTTCTGACACACAAGTTCCTCCCATTTACATGGGGCAGCTACTGCAGCTAAAGTGGACCCCACAGAAGGAAGCAGTAGGGAGGTTTGAGAGATAAAGACAACAAATTCAAAAAGGGAACTCCTAATCTAAGGGAAATGTACCCATGGAAAATAATTCAGCTGTTGTGTTGCCTCTCAGGTTCTACCTGTCTGAGGTCCCTCACATCCTCCACCCTGATGTCCCAGGAGGATTGGAGAGGATGCCCTAGCCCAAGCAAATCCCCCAGACTGCAGGAAAAAGAGCAGGCGTGGCCGGCAGAAGGTGCCCTACCCATCCACGCCCCACCCGGGGGAAGCAAGGCACAGTAGAATTGGTAAGGAAGGAAGAGCAGCAAGGTAAACTCAATCACATCCAGCAACTGGCAGGGCCTGATTTCTCAAAGCTTCCCTCTCTGGTTCAGGAAGTAAGCAGATGCTCTTAACTCTTCTTGGAACCGACTTTAAATGCAGGTCACAAAGTCCATTAGGCAAGGTTATCTCTGACAGGAACAAATAAGCAAAAGCAGACCTGTGTCCAAACAATGCCACCAGGGAACAAGCCACCTGCCTCCTAATCGAAGTTGTATAGGACCTGGGTGCTGGTCTAGCTGCTCTGGAGCTGGCAGAGTGGGGGCAGAGCTCAGCCCAGGCTAAAACCTCTTCTGCTCAAATGCCAGCTTTCTTCCTTTTCTTCCCAGTGCACCACCAGGATGCCTATGGCAACCCCCAGGAACAGGGCTGCAGATGCCACACGGCCCAGATCATTTTCTGGAGCAGCCTGCTCATTACTGAGCCGCCAGCCTGGATAGAGGAAGCCGGAACTACAGGAACAGCTCTATGTGCACAGTGACAGGCCCAAGGGACACAGGTTACGCCTTGCTTGGTAGGGCAGTGGTGGAAAGTCACAGAACAGCATCTAAGACCTCCACAGCCTTCCCGTACCAGGTCAAAAGAAGAGAAAATGACAAACGCGGGACGAGAGTCTCGATTTGAAGATTGTCTCAGACACCAAAAGGAATAGGAAAAAAATTACTTTACAAATTGCTTTTCACATAGCCAGTGGACAGTCAACCTCCACTAAGCTGTAAAGCTACACTGAACAAAACATGAAACTTGCAAAAACACCTCGTCTTCTTGAAGAGTAAGAAATAAACTCTGAAACAGTAAAAGCCAATTTAAGAGTCTAACTGAGGGCACGATATCAGTTCAGTTTTCAGGGTCCAGATCAAAATTCTGGCATAGAACTATAGAGCCCACAATCACGCTATGAACTGCAGGTTATTTCAAGGTTTTTCAAATAAACTTCATTCCTGTTCTTATACTCAGCCCCTCCCCCACGGAGAGCTGGATTACCTTTGCATAACTACTTCAATCAAAAGTTCTAAACACTGCAGTGCTTTTAAAACTCTAAGAACAATAGCAGCCTTGCTTCATTGTCTTTGGCAATAATTCGTTTCCTCAAGGATTAAAGATTCTGCCTCTAGCTGTGCAACTTTATCCCAGGAAACATGAAATATCACTTCATTAGAACAAGGACACGATTATTGCTTAATTTGAAACACAGGCGCCTTAGTTTGTCCAAATTAAGGTCTGAATAATGTGGAGACTGCATTACTGTGGTAACTGTGCATTCCCACTTTAAAATCATCTTCAGATTCTATGTTTAATTCCTGGTAAAGTAAAAAATACCAATGACACAAAAATAAAAAGTGAACTCACTGCAGAAAGCAACAGATTCCAAACGTATCCCGACCCCCACTCTGAACCAATCTCCTATTTTATCCCACATTTATTTCCCCATAACTCTAGATTATGTTTATTCCTTGATCTGTCACTTTTAGGCAATACCTGTAGGCTCCACATTATGAAAAAGGAAGAACTTAAACTGCTTGTCACTTTCCATTCTATGTTTAATAACTATTTTCCCTTTAACTTTGGACAAAAGTCTCAATACTCTGGTTGATAAGCCAAAACTATCATCTTTTTTTTTTTCTTTCTTTTTCTTTGGTTTTTTTGAGACAGGGTCTCACTATATGTAGTTGAGACTGACCTGGAACTCACTATGTAGCCCAGGCTGGTCTCGAACTCACAGCGATCCTCCTGCCTCAGCCTACCGAGTGCTGGGATTATGGTATGCGCCACCACCCCCAGCTCCTATCAGCATTTTGACCTCTCCTAAACTTTTCAGTTTCTCCAAGTGCTACCACATGTCCGCCCCCCTTTTACTCACTATCTGAGATATTACCACTTATATTTTGTCTTATAGCCACAATTCATCCTATTTTTAGAGTCAGGTAAATAAATATTCCGTGCTGAAACAAATTGTGAAAGATGCCCCTAGTCTCAAGGAAACTGTTTCTAATGTCAAGGTCAAACGGACTTGCTTTTCTTGTGTTCTATCAATCGCTTGGTATGTTCCACATCTAGACCATGACTTCTGCTTTTCGTGACATTTTTCACTGCCTTTCTTTTTTCTTGCCTTTACTGAGGACTTGAGCTGCTCTATGCTCCAATCATGCCTCTTATTCACTGAAGACCTTAGCTGCTCAGACTTCCCTCAGAGCCCTGGCCTTGCTGCTACAACACGCCCTACTGTTCCTCTTGCCTGCTG